CTTGTTGTTGTTATTGGTTTGGGGGACATTTTTAAAGAATATACAAACGAGGCGTAAAAGACTTTTGGTGGCCCACCCTTCCCTCTACCCCTTTCTCATTATGGTTTGTTAAGTAGCTGGACTTTGGAGGCCTGTCAACTAGGGTCAGTTCCAACTGCCTCATTTTGCAACCACATGGACCTGGGCGAGTTTCCTGCCTTCCCTAAGCATCTCTTTAAAGCATGGTTAACAGAGAGACTGAGCTTCTAAGATTGTTGTAAGGATTAAAAGAGGTCATATGATTAATCTCTCTCTAGAGTCCCTGGCATGTTATACAACATTTGGCAAATATTAGCTAATTTCAAAATTTACTTTAATATCAATAATTATCATTAATAATGTTATTAGTGTTATATGGCTAAGGGAATGTTTATGTATTTATTATCTGAAAAGGAGGATATCTGCTTCTCTTTGATGTTCTGTGCTTCCTAATCTTGTTGAAATTGAGATCAGACACAAATGCTAGATTCCTCTGATTTCATCACTGAATCATAAGAGGTCATTAAATCTTCCCTAAAAAGATTTTTAATTTTAGTATTCAAAACCAGGGCGRGGGGGGGGGGAAGTACCAGAAACCAACTCTTACTTATTTCCCACATAYAGATGCAAACAGAAGTAAAACACAGCTGCTCTTATCTCTCCATTGGCACCATCTCTTCCTGGTACTGAAAGAGATAAAAATCTTGCAGTATAATTTTATAAGGCAATAACAAGTGATTTACTTTATCTTAAGGGTAAACAATGAAGTCCTTATCCCACTGCAGGGTAACATAGGYTGGCAATCTGGCAGATGCTCAGCCCCCAGTATGGATTATTTGAGATGAAAGAAAACATTGACTAACCGTGAAGATTTGACAATATAGGAGGGTACCTGTCTGTATAGCTTGATATTCAAGGATACCAGCAACACAGCTGTTGGATGAAGTGAAGGCAGTGGTGGACAAACCACCCGATTTGTTTTCCATTGTTAAGTGGTGCAGTCTTTGGGATCACATGAACAAATCTGCAGACCCTCTGGGCCCACTGTGGTTCTATGTGATCTTATACCATGAATTATAAAAATTCAGAAAGATGTCAGGATATGTTGTTTCCATCATTGTAATCATGGTAGGGTTAGTGTGATCCTTTYCAAGGTACGATTTTTTATTAAAGTAGAAGCCATCTCTTGTTGTCACAGAACATACACTTCACAGAAAAGATTAATTTTAATTTATAGACATTCAGCCATAAAATAAAATCAATAATTATAAACCTGCATAGCCAAGTTCATAAGATTTTAGAGCCAGTCTTCTTTAAAAACTGGACCATGGTCTGAACTGAGTGACTTTGGACAAATTACTTAACTAAATCTCTAGAGTAGAATCTGTTATGAGCATTAAAAAACATAATTGTGCAAAAATTATGCTTAGCACATAATAAATACTTGAAGATAAATGTTAAAAGGCTGTTATCAAGGCTTTTATCCTGTTTCTTTTTTCACTCATCTACAAGTTAATGTTTCTTTTCTCTCTTTTTAAAATTGGTTCTTTTTAGTTATGCATGATAGTAGAATTAATTTTGATAAAATTATAAAAGGATGGAATATGTCTTATTCTAATTAGACTCATTCTTGTGGATGTACATGATGGTGGGATTCACTTAGGTATTTTCATACACGTACCTAGGAAAATTATGTTAGAGTCATTCCACCATCTTTTCCTCTATTGGAAATGAGTTATTTATATTGACTTGATCCAATGACTCTACTATTTGTCTCAATTATCTTGTAATGTAGAGATTAATCTATGTGTACTTTAAAACCAACATGCATTTTAAAATTCTTTCATTAAAAAATATGTGTCAAGGATCTCATGAAAATAGAAGGAGACCATTAGAGTAAAGGGAGGGAGAAAGGAGGGGCATGGGGAAATACTGGGGACAAAATATAAGAAATTACACGATGTCCATGTACAAAAGTCCCACAATGAATACTGCTATTATGTATAATTATAATGCACTAATTAAAATAACATTAATAAAAATAGAAGGGGGATTAGAAGACTATAGCAGAGTACAGCAAGAGGATTGGGGGAGAGAGCAGCGGAGGGAAAGGGAAGTTACCAAGGAATAAGACAGATCCGATTATATTATATATGTATACAAATATGGCATAATGAGTCTCACGATTATGTAAAACTGTAATGCACCAATAAAATTAAAAATTAAAAAATGCAAAAGAATTACATATGCAAAATAATATAAATTTATCAACATGCATTTTTAATGTTAGAACTTTGTCTAAAAGGAAGGTCATTTGCAATAACCTTGTTTTTCTCTGCTATGCTGAGAAAGTTGGCAAAGTTAAGCATAAGTCTGTTTAATCGATAAAAAATTCTAAAGTCTATAAAAATTAACAAGTGACAATGATATGATGTAATATCTGACCTGTTTTTCCTTGTCTCGTTTCCTCTAAACTTTTAATTACCTTGTATGTTAGATAAATCAAAATCCAGTTAATGCTTGGAATCTAATAAGTGTTTCTTTGTTGAATTAAGAGAAAAGGAAATAAATAAATATTTTATTGTGTTCAGAGGCAACAGTTCCTGAATGGAGGCTAAACCAGACCTTAATTAAAGTATTCAGGTTAGAAAACATTCTGCCGCCTACTCTTCTTATTCAAGTGCAAAACTACTTGGATTAATTTCTTGGGATAGGACAAGGGTTAAGTTCATTAAACTAAGAGAGTCTGAACAATTTTATGGCACCTGTTATGTACAATTAGGGTTTTATTATAAAAGGGACTCTAGAGATGAAATGGTTCAATCTCYTTAATTTACAGATAAGGAAACCAAGACCTTAAGAATTGAAATGGCTTTGTCCTATGGAGACTGAGCTGCAGGGGGAATTTTAGGTTCTTTTCATTAGTCATATCTTCCCCTCTCACCCTCTCTGTACTAGGGAGTGAACCCAGGGGATTAAGTAAAAATAAATAAAAAAAGGAGGGCTGGGTTCAGCCATTTTTATTTATTTTTAATTTTGAGAAGGGCATCTCACTAAGTTGCTGAGATTGGCTTTGAATTGACAATCCTCCTGCCTCAGCCTCCCAAGCTGCTGGGATTATGCCAGTCATTTCTTAAAGGGATTTGCCCCAGGATGCTTGTTTATGTGAACATTTCCCTCTACTCCAAGACACTTACATATTTCTAAAAAATAGCAAGATAAAAGACTGTGGTTGAGAACCTCRACTTTTGGGTCATAGAAACCTGGATCGAAATACTTGCTTCACCACAAAGCATTAGTCAAATTATCTAATCTCTGTTCTYAGTTTCCTCATTTACTAGAGAGGAGGACAAACTCTTGTAATCTTCAAAACAGAAATAGCAAATTTTTGCCAGTTTATTATTAATGATTAAGGTAATAGTTTATAAAAGATTACCACCAGCTGGGTGCATGCTAAGCCATTAGTACCCATTAACTATTATTGGAATATAAATTAGAAGTGGGAGAGAAAGTTGAATRGAAGAGAGATAGGCAAGGATAATCTTATATTTTGCTAAAAAATAAGTTTGAGTTTATGAGTTTGGCTTCAAATTTCCCTATAGCCAACATGGAAAAATAGAAATGATTAATTATATAGCTCACAGGAACTTAGTATATTAATTTATATATATATAAGTATAAATTAATGTGTGTGTGTGTGTCTCCAAACCAGAACTGCCCTCTTTCACCCCTATCTTTGAATTTCCAAACAAAGTTTCTTTCTACCAGACACAATAGTGTGTAGGTTTTAGAAAMTAGTTGAATTATAATAAGGGTTACCTGAGACTCTCCTGGGCACCCAGCTTCTCGAGAGCTCCTATAGGAGAGAACCCTGCTAAGGATCTTCTCCTTAGTACCTTCTATCCTCTGAAAGACCTTGGATGTGGGCAATGATGAACTGGGTTATTCAGTTATTTCCCCCACCCACTTCAGATATTCGTAAGGTAGTGGCCTTACTCCCCTTCATATTTTCATTCCTTGAGTCTCGCATATGGTGGATGCTTAGTTAATGTTTGTGAATTGCAATAATGTTAATGAACATGTGCAAAAGAATTACCTGTATGAGAGCCCTTCCATTTAGACCCTGGTTGTGACAGAGAGATTATTTCTATATTGAGTATTATAAAATTTTCAACCAACTCGGATGACAGTGCCAAAGGCTTAAATCACAGTATTTTAGATGAAAAGTAAAATCTATATGAACTCTTCTTCCCTGGGTACTGATGTGCAGCGACTTGTGTTATTAAATGTCAGGATGAAATAGAACCAGTTTTCTTTAAAAAAGGAGAGAAGTGTAATTCTAGCACTTCAGGTATCTTTAGGAGCAGGGATATTAATCAATTTTCTTTCAAGACACGTACATCATTTTACCTCATGCAAAGTCATGACCAAAACCTCGTATCTCAAAGATGTAGTGTACTCTGATTGGAATGTCACCAACAGAGAAAATATACAAAGATTATGTTATCACAAAAACATTTCTATATCTGCATATTTAGATATGTGAAATACCCTAAATTTTCTTTAGGAAATGTTGAAAGGTACTTATTTTACAAGATTGTTTTTTTTCTTTTCATGTATTTATTATAGCTAAGAAGCAATTTATTTTCTCAAAATAAGCATTCCCAGATTGATTTCCTTTACATCTCTCTTCATTTATTGAAGTTCATAAAATTATATGAGAGAAATGTTGGCACTTATTCAATGTGGTGTTTCTTTTTCTTTTTTGTTTGCAATTGGGTGTTTCTCTCCATTTTAATTTACAAGCTAGGAGTCCTTTAAATGTTAAGCAGGAGAGTAATTGAAAGGTCATTTGGCATTAACTGGGGTTCACACTGAGACCTGACTTGCTTCCTGGTGCTGCATGTAAGCCAGGATTCAAATTGTGGGACAGGGTTTTCCTGGACCAAAAGGTAATTATGTAACCCTTTTTCCTTTCTCAGCCCCATTGCTTTGACTGTCTGAAGTTAACATGTCTCTGAAAAACGAGCCAAGGGTAAATACCTCTGCACTGCAGAAAATCGCTGCCGACATGAGCAATTTGATAGAAAATCTGGACACTCGGGAACTCCACTTCGAGGGAGAAGAGGTGGAATACGATGTGTCTCCCATGGATCCCAGGACTCAGGAAGGTAAAGCCTGCGGATCTGAGGGAGAAGGGAGCCCATCAGAGTTGGTTGACAGAGCACAGTTTGAAATAACCAGCTAATGATCTGTCTTCCTTGCAGAGATCAGAACACAGGGCTGAGAATCATCATCCCCTAAGAGGCTTGCTTATTTTAGCGATTGATTCTCAAAAGGAGGCCAAAATCATGCTACTGTCACCTGTTGGAATAACTTTGTTTACTTTTTATTTTATTTTTTTAGGATATATCCCTTTCTCTGCTATCTATAACACTCAAGGCTTTAAGGAGCCTAACATACAGACTTATCTCTCCGGCTGTCCAATAAAAGCACAAGTTCTGGAGGTGGAGCGATTCACGTCTACGACAAGGGTCAGAGCACTTAAGAAGTTGCCTTTTTTTTTTTTTTTTAGTTTTTTTTGGTGCTAATTTTTATTTTATTTTATTTTTATTTAATTAATTAATTAATTAATTTGTTTTAATTTGCTATACAAGACAGCAGAGTGCATTTTGATTCATAGTACACAAATGGATCACGATTTTTCATTTCTCTRGTTGTACACAAAGTACAGTCACACCACTCGAGTCTTCATACACGTACCTAGGGTAATTATGTCCATCTTATTCCACCATCTTTCCTACCTTCATGMCCCCTCCCCCCCTTCCCGCTATCCAAAGTTTCTCTATTCTTCTGATGCTCCACAGGAGCCGCCCTCCAACCCCGAAAGAACTTGCCTTTTTGTTAATACATGTGGATTACTACGTTGACTTCCGTTTTCCTTTCTCCCAGCTATGACCGTATTCTTTAGGTTTTTGTTTGTCTTTTTGTTTGGACTGTTTCCAAATTCTCAAATCCTGAGATTTTGATTCCTTCTTATTTCATCTTTATTTGCATTACTCCTTTCTCCCCTTTCTGGACAATACTCTTTGTGGCATTGAAGGCAATTTATTAATTTAAATTGCAAGGTGCCTCTCTGAACCTTTCTCTTTCCCCAGTTTTCTGTTTCATTTTAGACTTTTCAAKCATATCCATCATAACTAGAATACCAAGTACAAGTCAGGGAAGAGTTTAGTTTTCCTAATGCTTATTTAGCAAGATACTGCTTTTTCTACTTGGCTTTAAAAAAAAAATACTGCCAGGTGCTGTGGCACATACCTGCAATCCCAGCAACTTGGGAGGCTGAGATAAGAGGACCACAAGTTCAAAGCCAACCTCAGCAACTTAGTGAGACCCTGTCTCAAAAATAAAAAATAAAAGGTGGGGATGTGACTCAGTAGTTAAGCACCCCTGGGTTTAATCCCCAGTACCAAAACAAAACAAAATAACAAAAAACATGATTCAAGATTAGCCAGTGTTGTTACCCAAAAGCAATGCAGAGGGAATTCTACCTGCAGACTCTGCCTCTCTGTTTTTTAACTGAGGCTCCATCCTTTAGTCTTCATTCACATATTTTCACTAAACAGTGACAAAGCTCTAGAGTAAAATGCCTTCACCAGGCCAACCTAAACCTGTACTCATGCTCCCRTGCTCATCCCCAATTTACACCCACCTGGTGTAGATCCTGAGGCTTTTCTTATGCTTTAGGTTCACGTCTCCCTGATAAACTGTTGAGCATCTCTGTGATGACCTTTGCCTCTTATGTTAATTGCCTGCTTTTAGATTGAGAGACAATAACGTGTAAGAGGTAAATGTACAGACTCTAGAGCCAGACTTCAGGGTTAGTTACTGTCCTTGCTTTGTTATCTCAAAACAAGTTACTTAACCTCTCTCAATTTCCTCATCTGAATAATGGGTACCATAGTATTAGTAGGTTATATTAAAAATACACAGTATATTATCCAAGTATATACTATATGCTTAGTACTGCAGCAACTGCTTCTACCCACCCTTCCTGAACACTGGTAGTGCCTCAGGGCAGTGGGGAATGGCATAGATGAAGGTAGACATTGCAGTGTGTTTCAGAAGGAGCAGGGAAGAAGACATGCTATACCTTTTTTTTTTTTTTTTTTTTTTAAGGACAAGTTTGTCTAAGGTGGTGCTCCTGGCATCCACCACCTCCTGCTTTCCTCTCACCTTTCATTGCTTGTATTTGTGGCCTGGACTCCTCCCTCCCTCCCTCCCTTCCTCCCTCCCCCCCCCCTTTTGTGCGCGTGCACGCACATATTTTTTTTTTCTCTCTCTGTGTATGTGTAAGGATTTGTAGGAGTGTGGCGTGATCCAAAGTATGTCTTGTGAAATTTATCATGTGGATCGTTAAGAGAATATTATTTCTGTGATCAATTGTTTCCGAAAAATATTTGCTTAAAGTACTTATGCAAAGTATGTAGGCTGAACTTAAGTATACTTCCATGTTATTAATTAATTAGCTATTTTTCATTGAGAGCTGTTGGAGTTTTTATTATCTAAAATACCAACCATTTTTGTTTATCACTGTAGGTGCCAAGTATCAATCTATACACTATTGAATTAACACATGGGGAATTTAAATGGCAAGTTAAGAGGAAATTCAAGCACTTTCAAGAATTTCACAGAGAGCTGCTGAAGTACAAAGCCTTTATCCGAATTCCCATTCCTACCAAAAGGTAACCATTTCAGAATTTAGATGAAGTTAACCCAACACACAAATTGGATGGGAGTGTATTTCATTCATTTTCTATGTCATCTAGTCGCATGTTGATAGATATTTTCAATTAAATAAGCTCTTTTAAAAATAAGACATTTCATGAAATATGAGAGTTCAAAGAATTCTCTAATAAATGTCTGCATTATGTGTGTGTGTTAGACACACGTTTAGAAGACAGAACGTCAGAGGGGAGGAGCCTCGAGAGATGCCTAGTTTGCCCCGTTCATCTGGAAACATGATTCGAGAAGAACAGTTCTTTGGTAGGAGGGTAAGTTCTTTCACCCTTTTGCTGATTTTATTGGGTTTTTTATTGTTTAATTTGTTCTTTTTAGATATACATGACAGTAGAGTGTATCTTGACATATTATACATACATGGTCTTCTGTTGTTTTGAACATAGTTTTGCAGCAGAGTAGAAAGGTGGCACTTAATGAGAGGTGAGGGATTCCAGCTGAAGTTTCTTTTACCTGCTGGCCTCTAGCCCTAGCAAGGTTGAGCTTCTCTGGAACCAGTTAGGCATTCCCATCCTCCCAAGCCATCGAGAGGGTGTATCAGCACTGAAGAGTGTTTGTTGGTAGCTATGCTGTGAAGAGCTGTCCTCCTCCTAGTACCTCCCTAAACTTGTTGTGAATTGAAGATTGAGTGTATCATGTTGGGTTTTGAGATCTACTCTCTTAAAATCATTTATTTCCCTACATTTGCTCCTATATGTTAGTTCATTTTAAAATTAAATATGGAAAGTTGCATTGCTCTGCTCCAGGTGGGGCAGTTAGCATTTAGGAGAGTAGGCTGAGCACAGACTTGCATGCTAGAATAGGAAACTCAAGATAAGAGATGTGTTTGCCACCCTACTACGATTGGTACTGCAAGGGGTGGGGGACTTGCATTTTTTATTAGGATATTCATCGGTAATTTGTTCATTTCTGTGCATTCTGTTTTATAATCTGAAAATTTTATGTTTCAGAGGGAATATTTTATTTTTTCTTTTGTAGTTATCATCTTTGTTTAAAATCTTTTTAGGGGTCTGGACTAAATATTTTCCAAGATAACTTAGACATATAAAATTACATAATTTCTGGTTATTGTGTGCACATGTATGAGCCCAACTAAAAGTGATTATACCTATTAACCCTCAGTGATTCAGCAAAAAGGTGCTGGCTTAATGTGTCAAGGTCAATATACTTGATATATGTTACTGCAATGCTCCAAGTCTATAAATCTCCGCTTTCCCCATACACACACATTTTAACATATTTGAAAAATCAAGGTTAGAAAATCTTTTTCTTTTAACATTTTCCTTCCTTTTTACTTGAAAACTATTTAAAAATTATGATGAATCTACCAGTAAATTAAATGCTGGAATTGAAAATACACAGGTGTTTTGGTAAAATCAACAAATGACTTGAAATTACCTACCATGAACAAATCCTGTTCTAATAGCTATGGAGGATTAAAAACATATACAGCTCAGGTCTTGTTAACAATTTATAAAAGACCTATGCATGTGGAATATTAAATAGCAAGAAGAGATTCAAATAATAATTGAAGAAAAATCTATAGAAATAATACATTAATGCTAWTCAGGGTTCCTTGCCCAGTGATAATATTAGCAAATATTATCATAACTTACAAAGGTYAAGATGAAATGATGATTTTATCATTATCACTATTTAAATTTTTCTATGSCTATATTAATTCTTATCTAAAATATTTGCATTACAGAAACAACTAGAGGATTACCTGACAAAGATACTAAAAATGCCCATGTATAGAAATTATCATGCCACAGTAAGTACTCTTCAGTGATTTAAATTTTGAAGTAATTTCTAAAAGAGTAAATTGTGAGCTGAATTTTGAGTGATTTTTTTTAACACAGTGCTTGCATCCATATTTACATTTTTTCTTGAATTAAAACAAATTAATGAATGCAAAATTGATTTGACAGCCGGGAGCCAGTTTATGGCGATATGATGCTATATTTAAAATATTGAATAGAACTTAATATGTCTCTAACAACAGACTTAAGTGAGCCCAAGTGCTACCGCAGACTGGATTATCTAGAAATCAACCCTGTTCTCCCCTCAGGCTTCTTCTGCCAAAAGTCCTTGTGAGTTCCAGAGAAAAAACTTTAAGCAGTAAGTGATGAAAACAGCTAAGCAGAGTTGAATACCCAAGACTTTCTGGAGCATATTTGGATGGCCATCTGATTGGCCTATCTTTTCATGTGAAAGTGAGAAGCTTGAGAAAGCCAGGCTCTTCTTAAGGAAGAGCTCTCAAGAAAAGAGAAGAGGGTGGTGGGGATTGGAGATTGGAGGCACCCCGGAGATTGATCTTGGGAGCCAGGCAGCTGGCAAGCAGGAAGAAGCAGGTTTACAGTGCCGGCATACAACCAGCTCTGCCATCTTAGGGCGCCTTGAGGATAAAGCAATTTAAAAAGATTAGTTTTCAGTTATCCAGAGGTCTGGAAACTGAGAATGTCTGGGTGTAGACTGTATTGCTGTAGGGTCAACCATGGTGCAGAACATAAAGAGTAGTGCACTTGTGACTTGGCCTCTAGTTTAGTGAATACCATCACAYAAATCCGTAATTGAAAGAGGGTATATTTAGGAGAGGAATAGAGAGCGCTTGGCTCTGCTGAGTTTCTCAGTGGTGGGAGGTGCCCTTTTGCTCCTGCCTGCATATTCCTGGGAAGCTGGTCCAAAGATGCGCACGCACACCTGCTTCCCTTACACATAGCTGGCCCAGAGCCAGCCTGCTGYTCATCTCCTGCAGCAGCTCATGCAGGGATATTTGGACTTGAGGGAACTTCTGTGTCTTCCTGGAGAAGCATTTTCTCAAGAAAGTCAGCAGTTTGGGTTCCATCAGAGGATCTCCAGAGTAGGGTGATGGGAGGGGTCAGGTCTTTTCTAGGATTTAGAATCATATAAGATTGAAATAACATCACAGRTAAGGAAACTCTGCTGTTGTTACTAAAAACATTGCCCTCTGTTACAGTTTGTGAAATCAGATGTGCTGTTTTCTTTAATGCAGAATTATTTAAATGTATACTAATACCTGTGTCAATAATCTTCCATTTTTCTTACTTTTCTGCCTGCCTATGACTTTACTTGTACTATTTATTTTGGTTTTAGGACAGTACTTGGTGAGTTCATTCTTTTCTTTCCATGTGCATTATTACATTTTGGATTCTGATGTYGACTAAAAAATGTTTACATTTTTTAAGTGTTCATTTAAATTACTTTTCCAGTCATAAAAATCTTTTCAAAGTTAATCTATATTGTGTTTAGATATCCCAGGGTGCCTTATAAATATTTCCTTTGGAGAAGAAAACCTAGTTAGTAACTTGATAAATATATTATYCCCATCAAAAGTGAGGGGATCTCATATTACTAAGATTATTCCCTCCAACAGCTGAATTCTCCAAAATTMTTCAAGCATTAGATACAATTTGATATACATTAATTCTCTAACCTTATTTTCCTTTCATATTAAATTTAATCTGGTCTAAAGACTAGATTCACAGGTCTCCACATCACATTCATAAAATTAGATTGGCATCTATGTGTTTCCCTTGGTAATTATGAGAAATTTTTAAAAAACCCATCTGCAAAAAGCATATTACAAATCATTTTTATATATGCACATATAATAAGTTTATACTTTAAGAGTATAAAATGAGTCTATTTAAAGTTAATACAGGTCCTTAAACTGATAGCATCATGGATCATAGATCAAGGAACTAGATAGGATACATCCTCATTAACTCTAGAATGGTCCAGATCTATATTTGGAATCTATGCTTTTGACAAATAATTTGGGTGATTCTTATCTGGAGAGTTTGAGAGATAGACTAAAATGCTATTGCCAACTTTAAAATGTCTTGGTAAAGTTGAACTACTTTAAAAAGTGGAGAAAGATTATTGTGGGATTTGTGTAATAGGATTTACCAGAAAGAACTGTGTTTAGGCTTCAAAGCAGTGACTGTTCAGTTTTCTCAAATGGATTTTGAAATTAGACATGGAGAGTTTTTTCTTTTTCCTTTTATTAAGTCATTGGTTGGGTAGGCACTCAGACAACAAACTCTTCCAGGATTATGAAGACTTTTTTTTATTTCCTTTTTTCCTCCTTGTGGTTGGGACAAACAGGACATCCCAGTGTTCTAGCTGATTCTGCATCACAGTTCCATCAGAGATTATTGGTAATTCAGTCAGTTTCCTGAATGTAATGTGGGCGCACCTGTATTTTACTTTCTTACTTGACATAAATTTGTGAAAGAAGTAGCGCTCCGTACCTGAGTTGTACAATAACAAGAACTCATGTAAGAATTCCTCTTGTGTTCTGAAACTGAGTCAGTGCCCACTAACAGGGCACTTTAAATAGTTACTGGAAAATGCTTATCTTCCAGGGAATTGAAAGGAAGAGGAATAAGGAACAATAAATTTATTTATTTTTCTTACYTAAGATTAAAATCTATGTGTGAAACAAAATGCACTGTTTTCTAAGAGAAGTCCCTAAACTGATAGGATCTTATCTTAATCCTAACTTGAAGTAAATCATTTCACTTCTGTAACTCAGATGCCTTATCTCCAACATAGTGATTAGTTTGAAATCTTGCTTGGAACCTCCCACAGATCAATAGTATTGAGTTCACTTCCCTCCTTCATAGGATGAATAACTTTAACTTGAATGGAAGAATAGGTAGGGAATAAGATGCACACAGGGCATCCATTTCAACAGAGAAGAGCTGTACTGAATCAAATGCCTGCATTTGCAGATTAAGGGAGGTGCTTTCTTTCTCCTGATGGAATCTCAGAAGGATGCAGACCTTAGTCCAACCTTAGCATTCCTATGTTGATGAGATGTCTCCTTAGTACCCTGTACCTCTGTTAACTGTTTTATTTGGAAGACAGCCATCCCTAGAGTACCTGGGCCTCCCCTTCTCCATCACCAGAGGATTGCTTTTCCCAACCCTCTCATCTTCCTGTGTCTGAGAATTTCCCATTTGCCCACACACTTAAATTTTTGGCTACCTGAGGAATGGAAGGGGCCTCTGAAAGTCATCATCCCCTTATCCTTCAAAGATAGATGGAAAGGACAGGGTGATTGCCAGGTTATTTCTAGGGCCCGTGTTACCCTTAGGTTTGGTTGCTTGCCTCTTGGCACAAAAATTCCTGCAGCACGTTTTTCTAACCTTTCAAGTATCCAATTGGTAAGTCACATTGGAATTTTCAACTTGAGACAACCTATTGCTAAGAACATTATTTAATTGAATTTTTCACAACTCCTTCTCCAAAACAAAAACAAAAAGATACCCATTGGTACTTTGCACAGTAAATCCCATGGGATATTGTTAGGTTCAAATGATCTTTAAATTCTTTTACCTGAGAATCATATGCCCAAATGGAGAATGGAATTCTTATCACTGAAGATGCACTGAAAGGTTTGCACAACATAATCTTTGTAAAATTGCACATTTTGTTCATTTGGTTTCCCTAGAAATTGGTGATAACACATTTACTTTCAATTTGAAAAATCTGTATTTGACCATTATTGCCAATAGTTTTTTTCTTTTCTCTATAATAGTGCTGATTTCTCTTTGAAATCTCCCGTTAGTCAAACTTTAATAAGCCATTAAGATAAATTAAATTTCATAGTAATGTACAATTAAAATTTTCTACATTATAATGCATATTTTTATTTAGATGAAATTCCTCACATTTAGCAATTTTGTTATGTTCTAAAGTTATGAATTATTTTCAGATATTTCTGTTGTCAATTATTAAATGATAAGAGCTATATAAATAAGAATATCTAGAAATTAGACAAGTGGCTTCCTTGATTTTTGTCTTTAGTTCTTATTCTTCCATTCAGTTCTAAATGCATAAGTTAGTTTACACATCTATAGTAGTTTCTTCAAATATAAAATAGGATTCGCATCATCCTAGAGATAAAATGAGAAGTTATGTCTTAGGGTCTTAAAATATTTTGCATTCTATGGTTGACAGTCTGAATGTCATTTCTAATAACCACATAGGTTACTACATTTTTCAATTAGAAAGTATTTTCACAAATCAGATAAAAAATGTATGGTGCTGAATCCCTGGGTTTTATATAAGAAATGAAATTTAAAGACTTTGGCTTTTAAAATTCTTATTTAAAAAGTATTATGTGAAGATATGTTTAACTTGGGATTTTTAAAAGTTATTTAAATGCTTTTAATTTGTCTTTACAACTTATGCATAGATTTATTGAATTTTCATTAAACTCTGAACATATTTTTCAGTTGTCATCTAATATCTGTATACTGTGAAAAAAATCAATAACTAAATCTGATAGGTAAATCCTTTTTAATTTTAAAAATGTACTTTCTTCAAATAACCCAAGAAAAGAAAGAAATACAAACATTTAATTGAATCTCACAAGAATTTATAATTCTAAAATATTTGTAATTTTTTCTTATAATATTAATATTAAGCATTTCCAAACAGATATAAAGTATGTATTTCATTTGGTAAATCTCAGTTACAAACCTAGATCAAGTGCCACTTCCTCTGTGATATCACATTAGACAGGTGTGCTCTCCCCTCCCCCTATTCTGTAACTTTATAACTGCTTTCATGTGAAACCTGCCTGGTTCTTCCCACAGAACTTTGTTCCATGTCTAATCTCTCTTCTCTGTACTTCCTGATTGATGCTGGGAGAATATTTTTTTCTRTGGAAGCTGTTATTGGCATGGTTTAAGGACCACTGGCAGATCTAGACTTACTGTTGGCTGCTTAAAAAGAACAAATCTGCAAATTGGGAATATCACTATTTCTAACTTTGGTTGTTTCAAGGATTACTGTAAAACCTCTGCACATGTTAAGCATGACATACTATCAATTTGGTTTTCACTCTCTGTGTCTATGTTTGCATGTAGCTCTCACCCAGCTAGAATATGCAAAGTACTTAATTTGAGCAAGATAAAGGTTGAATGACATTTTGCTTTTGCAGTTTAGTTTTGAGGATGATGAATTTGGTCTCACTTGGTACCAATTCTATCCTTTGCTAATTATGGATGTTAGACAATTTACCTAAACCAGGGGTTGGCTAACTAGAACCCATGGGCCAAATAGAGCCCACTGCCTGTTTTTCTATGCTCTGTGAGCTAATAATAGAATTTTGTGTTTTAAGTGGTTGAAAAAATTTAAAGAATAAAACTTTGTGACATGTGAAGTTATATTTTATAATTACATAAAAAAGTTTTATTCAACACAGCCACACACGTTTATTTATGTGTGACTTATACCTGCTTTCCTACTACCATGGCAGAGTTGAGCAGTTGCAACAGAGACTTTATGGCCCTCAAAGCCCAAAATATTTACTGTCTGATTCTTTGCAAAAAACCTTAGCTTACCCCTGCTCGTTTTCCTCTTCTGTGCAATGGGAAAATAGTAACTACCTTCAGAGGGGTTTGAGGTAACATGTGAAAACTGCCAAACATAATAAGTCTTCAGTACATGTTAGGTGTGGCTGTTGTTATTACAATATTTGTAGGTTTTAATCTATTAATTTCTACAATGAAGATGGTCCTCAAATTCTCTTCCTTTTTGACTCATCAAAAATAATTCTTCCTGTTAGGCCTGATGTTCCCTAACTTCTCTGTAACATGCAATGCCATGATTTCCTCTTACCCTTCTTCACCTTGTTCACTAAGGACAGCTGTGCATCCTGTTGCCTTCCTGCTCCTTCTGTTCTCTTCCCCTTCATCCCTCACTTCCTCCTGTTCCTGCATCTGGCCCCACCTCACTGCCTTCACATGTTCTTTTATTATTGGGTGCACCCTATGCCACAGAACCTTCTCCTCCAACAACAAAAATGAACACAGAGCAATATTGGAAGTGAAGTCCCTTTCCTTGGCCTTCTTGAGCATTTGGTCTCCACATCATCCTTCATGGTTGTGTTTTAGCTATGTGCTTCTAATCAGTACTTTCTCAGGGCAATACCATCATTATCGATCTCTCTAGTCTTTAGAGTGTACCAAACAGCATTTGCCCATAGCGGTACCCAATAATGTGTTTTTGTAAACAGAAATGAATTTCCTTCCTTCCTTCCTTTCTCCCTTGCCATCCCTCCTTCTTTCTCCCTCCCCYGTTCTTTAACTTTCTAAAGTGTATTTTTTTTTCACTTCTTTCCAGACAGAATTCCTTGACATAAGCCAGCTGTCTTTCATCCGCGATTTGGGACCAAAGGGCCTGTGAGTTCCAGCATTGGATGCTTAGAGAGAAGTGTGAAAAGCTGATGTGCAGTGACATTCATTGTGGCAGCAGTGATGGAGTGCCCCTGGATTTACCGCCAGCTTGTTTCCCCAGTAGACTAAGACCAACTGAGGAGACCTGCTGTAAGAAGCAGAGCGTCTCCTTCAGTAGATGATGGTAGCAATGGCTCCACCATCTTCCTAATATGCTGACAGCTCAGCTTCCTCCTAACCCAGCATTGGGAGTGTTCAGTACCCACAGCAAGGGTGGTCTGTGGGAGAAGGCACTCAAACAGACGAAAAAGGTCCTTTTCCAATCACTTACAAAAGTTTACAGTCACTCATGTTGATGGCTATTGAAAAATCATTATTCTCCTTCACAATATTAGCTCTTGGTCATAGAAAGTGCTTAAGTTTTAATTCTGGTTAGGAGCCCTGTCAGTCATTGTTTTAAAATTGTTTTTGTTTTTTAGACATTGTTATTGCTCCTCTTGTCACTTTTTTTTTGGTATTGAGAATCAAAGCCAGGGCCTTGAGCATGCTAGGCAAGCACTCTACCTCTGAGCCACCTCCCCAGCCCCTCTTGTCACATCTTTCAAAATCAAGATAAGACCAACTTCCAAAACTAGTGGCTTTGCTCTACTTCCTTTGGCGTGGCTCCATTGTTGKAACTGTGAGTGGAGGGACGCAGAAGTGTGCTGGAATCTGTGGRTGAACACCCCTCCCCATGCCACGTCTCAGCAGTGGGACCAAGAAGAAATGCTTGGAGTCTTTTTTAGGTTGTCATAGTGACTGGAGGGAACATGTAGCATTGAGAGCCAGGAGCCAGCAAGCCTAATCTTCTGCACTGTGCACAATAGAGCTGCACAGCCCCACATGCAAAAGAGGTGTATGTGACTGGGGTGCTTTCAAGACTAGCTGCTGGAGTACCCAGCCTTATCAGCGTGACACTTAGCACGCTGAGGGTGAAGGAGGAAAGAGTGGGGAAGAAAATCATGTGAGGAATGAGACCATTTATTTAGTCCCAAGTTGGGAAGCTGAACAAGCCAGGTTTGAAGATGGTGGATTAATTTGATGTCTCTTTCAGAGAAGGTATGATCATGAAGCGATCTGGGGGACACAGAATACCGGGTTTGAATTGCTGTGGTCAGGGAAGAGCCTGCTACCGATGGTCAAAAAGGTAGGACTGACGAGTTTTGTGTGTGTGTTTGTATTAAAAAACTGGGTGTTTGGGGAGTATTTATATACTCCTTTATATAAATTCTTTTAAAGTCATGGCAGAACAAATTTTATTATATTTTAAAATTCAAATTCCAACATCCATTTCAAAAATCCTATTCAAAATTAGACTAATAGGCAGAGTATATAAACTTTATGCCTAAAATCCCAGTGGAGGGGCTGGGAGTGGAGTTCAATGGTAGAGGATCATGTACCTGGCATGCCTGAGGCCCTGGGTTCAATTGCCAGCACCCCAATACATTTAATTAAAAGGCAAGAAAATCCAATTGATATAAGACTCCAAAACTGATCCGCCAAAGAAGAGGTATAAATGGTCAAAATAACTATCTGAAAAGAAGCTCGGCCATCTCTAGTCATTAGAGAAATGTACATCCAATCCACAATAAAATACAGTGACTATAATGAAAAAAGATGGATCATAATAAATGTCGATGAAGATGTAGAGAAATTGGGACCCTTAAACATGGCTGATGGAAATGTGAAACAGTGCAGTACTTTGCAAAGTTCTTCACGTTGWTAAATGTAGAGTTACCGTATGTCTATGTGCATATTCAAAATATCTATAAGTAATATGGGGACCTACCTCCAACCATATTTATTTAAAACAACACCAACAGAAAATATCATTAAGTTGGGCTTTTACTTTCTGAGCTTTGAAAGGCTGGAAAAAATTATAAGGAAAGGATTACAAGGAAAGATTRCACTGAAGAAAATAGAAACTTTTTTGTTATAAAAAACATTTTTACTAAAATAAAGAGGGAAATAATACACTGGCAAAAGAATTTGCTTTCAAATAAACTCTCCTGGATAAACTTTCCCAGCCCACTGTGGCCCCATGCGGATTCCTTGTGACCACTTATTGGCAGTGCTGTGCTTTGGTAATCCAGGTGCTATATGGTCAGYGGCTATATGGTCACCATGGTGTTGCAGGCCGGCTTGGGCGTTAAGCACTGATGATTCTTTGCCCCCAAACTCCGGGCTCCAGAACCCTCCTGCCTGTGTGCAGAGTGAACTGTAAGTGCAAGCAGCTCCCTCGATTGCTCCCGACTCCTATCAGTTCCCCACCCTCAGTTGAGATGATTATCTGCTGCCCTATGCTGTCTTCCAGAGCTGCCRGGCAGGCTCAGAGCCCGATTGCCCATGATAAATTGCATGACAACACACCTTGCGGGCTCCCTTCCTGGCTGGTCTGCCTGTCCTACCCTACTGGTGCTTCCTGGTGCCACCTCCCTCATAAGCTACTCTACACATATCCTTAGAGCTCACTTCTCAGGCAAACCAACCTCAGGCAACTACTTAAGGAATGGAAGGCCTTGGTCAGCTTCCTGCAGTCACTTATGGAGGGCCTCGTGTATACCAGGCGGTGGTGTTCTAGCTACTGTGGAACCAAGGTGCCACCCTCATGGGGCTCTGTGTGAGGAAAAAGTAGGCAGTGATGACGTCAAGGAGCCAAGTAAGTGATTTAAATTTAGTGARGGATTTGGGGATTAGAATGGGTGACTTTAGCTGCTGGAGTCAAGGAAAGTCTCCCGAGGAGTTGAATTTGAGTTATGACCTTTATAAGAAGCAGCAGCCACCAGATAGGGAGGGATTTTGTTATATATATGAAATGTGGGTGCCCCCCCTCCTTTTTTAACTTTAGATTAAATCATGTTTCAACCAGGACAATCTAAAAAAGATATGATCCTCCCTGGAATGAAATGTGTCATCATTTTAAATTGTGTAAATCTTTCTGTGAAGATTAAAGCCTTGGTTCCATATTAATATTTCCTGAGCCGTATTCGAGGGATTTAAAATATCAGACATCATATATGGATGATAAAGAGTAGCTGACAAAATTAGTTTGAAAAAGTTTCTCACAGTAGAAGTCTATTGTATTGGTGTCTAAAGCAGGGGAGTTACTTTTAAAGGTGACATTCATTTTTAACTTTTTAATTATTTTCTTATGTATCCACAGAAAGCATTTGGGATCAGTTTTTTTTTTTTGTACTAGATATTCAACTCAGAGGTTCTTAACCACTGAGCCACATCCCAAKCCCCCCTTTTTTAAAAACATATATTTTATGTAGAGACAGGGTCTGAGTTGCTTAGAGACTCCTAAATTGCTGAGGCTGGCTTTGAACCCATGATCCTCCTGCCTCAGCCTCCCAAGCCATTGGGATTACAGGTGTGTACCACTGTGCCTGGCTGGATCACTTTCTTAATTATTCTATAGCAACAAACCAAAATAAAGCAAACAAGGCAGTTAAACTTTCAATCAGATCACAAAATGACCATGTCTCAGGGACAAGAAAAAAAAAAAAACAAGAGCAACAGAGAAAGCATTTTTTTCCTCCACAGTATGAAACATCTTATCATAGAGCTCATTTATTGAGCAAATTATCTGTACCTTATAGTAGATTCCATATTAAATTTCTCATCTCAAATTATGTCTCAAGAGATGTATAGATGTTAAAAAATGAATTMAACATTTACACTGGTAGACTGTAAACTATACCAAGAATTAATATTTTAGACAGTGACAAAATTTAAATTGTCTTATTCATTCTCTGGGAACTGTTCACGCAACCACTATTTAGTTAGGATGGTTGCCTTGCCTGAAGACTTCTTGATGTACATTCTTCTATTAAAGAAAAAAAATCTATTGACAAGAAAGGAAGGAAGAAGGAAGGAAGGGAGGAAGAGAAATCAGAGGAGTTTCAATGAAGAACATAATTAAGAACTTTAAATAAAGGCAATTTACCCCATCTGATGACMGTTGAGAATAACTCATCACTGTCAACAGAAACCATGGCATTCAGTTTTCAAAATCCAGCTGTCAGTGCTCCACAGTTCCATATCTCCAGGCTATCTCAACTTGGAAGAGTAGGGGAGGCACTGCTTATACAGGATGCCACTCACCCACTGGAGTTGAGCAGGGCCTTGGCAAAACACAGCCATCTCATTTCTGTTGTTAAACAGGGCTGCATCTGTGCAGGGTCTCTGTGAATTAGAGAAAACCGCCCCATTCCTGCAGGAAGATACAGCCTGCACCAGCACCTCTAAGCAGGGCACACCCACACAGTGGCACCTGGTGACCTCTCCCTGCAGGAGTGTTTTGCAGCCCTTGACCCTGGTGGTTATGCCCCAAGCTTGTGCTCTTGAGAGACTTTCTCAGATTTGTTTTTGACTGTTAATGGCTGGAACTTGTGGCATCTGGATGTGGACCAYCCCACTGTCATGCCACCCTGCTGTCCCTGGTGTGGAGTTCTGGCTGGAGTTGGCTCGGATGTCAATTAGATACCCTTGACTTTCAGGCAGGCAAAGACACAAGTCTAGGACATTTGATGTTCTCAGATCATCAGCTGTGGTTTCCAAAGCCTGTGACTGCTTCCTGGTCAGCCCCATAGCATGCCAATGCCAGACAGCTGGGCCTGTGTCACATGTCTGCACTCTAGCTTGCATCACAAGCCAAACACAAGGAGGAGCTTTCACAAATATGCACACTCTGTCTACTCTCTTAGCCTTAACCAGATTTTATCAGCAGGCAGCTAMGTGTCTGGACTCAGTCCTTCCAGAATCCCTGAGTCACCTTCGATATCAGGGCCTTGGTGTTTACATTTCTTCTAAAATGTATAATGGCTGCATTTGCTGAAGATCGTTCTGGAGAATATGACCCTTAAATTGTTTGGTTGTCTTATGTTAGATTCCTCAGTGAGAAACACTCAAAGTTTGGGTGAGACTCCTTTATTTTTTCAGTTTATTCATCCAACAGGAAGCTCAGATCCACTTTTGTGTGCCATCTCTCTGCTACATGAGCTGACCCCCCTTGATGTGGCCTTTGCCTGTTTTCCCCACTCTTTCCTTACACGTGGCTGCCTCTTCCCTCTGCATGGGGGTRGGGTGCACCTGGACCCTCTTTGGGATGTTACCGTTGGGACCCTTCCAGACCTCACGAAGACACCAGCTCTTCACAGCCAGGCAGAGGACTCCTCCTCTTTGAACTCATCCCTTTTGCTTTTCCCTTCTAGTCCCTATCCCATTTGGCTTAGAATGATCACAGTTTGTAGCCCCCATGAACCTAGTAAGGTCCTCCGAGAACACACGTCTATGTCTTGATTTATCTTGGTGCTGTTTCCCCATCTACCCTTATTCTCAGCTTAACTCTTTACTTTTCCATTGTGAAGCTGTTCAGTATATATTGAATTGAATGGAAATACTTTGGAGAAATGCCCCTGTCCCATGGAGTAGTAAATTTAATAAAATTTACTACGAAGCTAATTCACCAATTAACAAATAARAGTGATGGCTTACACTTAAAAAAAAGTTTTACTTTATGAATCAGTAGAGTCTCATCTACAGTTTTTAGAGTACCTAAAAAACTACGTTTTTATCTACAGTTTTTAGAGTATCTTATACTTAAGACTCGTCATAATAATTTATGCTTTTTGTTTCAGTCATTCGACACAATTTTGAAGTTCTTGTTCCCTTCATACAGGTGGTTAATAGTGAAAGACTCCTTCCTGCTGTATATGAAGCCAGACAGCGGAGCTATTGCCTTCGTCCTGCTGGTAGATAAAGAATTCAGAATCAAGGTGGGGAAGAAAGAGACAGAAACAAAATATGGACTTCGAATTGATAATCTTTCAAGGTAGAAAGTTCAAAAATTTATTTTGTTATTTTTTTCTGAGAATTTTTAATATTTATTATTTAGTTTTCGGGGGACACAACATCTTTGTATGTGGTGTTGAGGATCGAACCTGGGCCACATGCATGCCAGACGAGCACTCTACCGCTTGAGCCACATCCCCAGCCCAAAAGTTCAAAAATTAAAAAATTTTAAAAATTAAAAAACTCTCAAAGCCAAATTTTTCTCTCAAGAAAATGTAAAAAATAAAAATTTTAGAAAATGTGTTATTTAGAACTCATCCTCAATGTGAAGTAAATGAAATTATTTTTTTCTTCATATGAACTTTATTAAATTTTTTATTTGTTCTAATTAGTTACACATGATAGTAGAATGTATTTTGACATATTATACATATATGGAATATACTTTCTCATTCTTCTGGTTATATGTAATGTAGAATCACATTGGTGTGTCATCATATATGCACATAGGAKAGTAACATCTGATTCATTCTGTCTTTCCTATTCCCATCCTCACACCCTTCCCTTCATCTATTCTGAGTACTTCTATTCTTCCTTCCCCTCCCCTTATCATTCATGTAAGAGTCAGAATAAGTGATGCTAGGGGTAGATATATGCCTATTTTAACAAAATTTACTTMTAAGCTAATTCACCAATTACCAAATAAGAGTGATAGCTTACACTTAAAAAAAAAGTTTTACTGTATGAATCACTATAGTTAGTAAAACATGTAAAAAGGSATTTCATTCATAAAAATTCTGTTTACAGTTTTTAAGAAAAGATAACTTGAAAAAATACTTCAGTTAAGTGCTTATTATAGATTGTTGTTAGTGAGTACATGTGTGCAGATATGTGTGTTTCTTTCTGGAAGATCGTAATTATACCCTGAATAAGTGATTGATACCCAGATATACGTATGTATGTGCATATACATGAATATTGGCACATATGCACACACATATACACATTTGCCTTTGTATAGTTCACCCTCATGTATATAAATATATTACATTTCTTTCTCTCTTTGTACAAGTACCAATAGATACGTGCACAAATGTACATTTATGCGTGCGTGTGTGTGTGTGTGTGTGTCTGTGTGTGTGTGTCTGTGTGTGTATAAAGACTCTGCCCTTCCTGTTAGTCTCTGAGAAGGGAATATTCAGGATTGTTGAAAATGCTGTGGTGCTGCCTTCACCCTTCCTCCTGGCACTGTGTTCCTCTTTTCCATGACTTTCCAGAAGTTAGGCTACAGTTCTGATTGGTCGCTGCAACAGCTACTTTATTAGCTTCCTCATCTTCATTTCCCACCTGACTTACTCAGGCACCATTGCCAAAGGAATTCATTCAAATCCGGATTTCCCTAGCCTCCTGCCTGGTGTCTGTGCTCATTTTGTCAAATACCCCCAGGTTCTTCCACTTAGGATCTCAGGCCCTTGATCTCTGCCTGTATTGTCAACCCCTCCTGGGGACAGCTTTCACGGTTCTGTGGAGGCAGTTCCCTTGGCCACCCTGCCCACACTCTGCTTTCTCACCACCTAATGCTTGCTGTCTTCCTTCCTCCCCTTGACCCTGCAGCTCTGATCCGTATCCTATGACAAGGCCTCTGTCTGTCACTTACCTCTCCCACAGCATCTTTTCCCTTAGTAGGTTTTCAGAGGCATTTCAGCCCATGCAGCAGTAGCTGAGTGATAGACTAAGCCCAGGCACCTTTCCTGCCCTGCCCCCCTGCCCTGCCCTGCCCCCAGCAGCTCACTGTGGCTCCTTTGCCACTCCTGATGGAGCTGTTTCCCTCCTCCCAGCTCCATCACTCCTCGAGTCGCCTTCCCTGTCTGCACCCTAGCAGCATCCGCCACTCTGAAGGCCAGTGGCTGACAAATGGAGGGGAGCCATTTATACATCCCTAATCTTTTGAATAATTATTTTAGAGCCCATAAATAGCACCTTCCTGGCTTCTCATGAACCCCCCCCCCMAAAAAAAAATACCCCAAAGAGAAAACTTATGCTCCTCACTCACAGTCCTCTTGTTGTATCAGTGTGTTGCTGGATTTCTGCTTCAATGACAGAGAAATGGCTGGCTCCCATATCTTGTTTGTCTTTGAACTTCAAATTCGGATAACTCATATACTTACCTCTTGGTAAGGGTCCCCWGTTCTAACACTTGGCATTGAAAAAAAACCTTTCTGTAACCTAATCTGAATTTGTTTTCAGCAGTTATAAATCTGTAACCACTTAGAAGAGTTCAGTCATTGTGACAGAAAAATCCAGTGCAAAGTGGCTTATACCAGAGAGAAGTCATCAGCCAAGTTAGGCAGGGCTGATTCTGAAACTCAGACTATTTCATTGACACATTTTCCCTTCTTTTCTCCACTCTCTCATCTGTGGATCTGCTGCATTCTCAGACTGGTCTCCTCATGGTGGCAAGATAGCTGCCTCCCAGGCTCACACCAAATCCAACGGGAATGGGTATCTTCCTGGCATTTCTGAGCAAGTCCTCAGGTTTCYTCTTACTGGGTGGAATTGACTAATGCTTTCATGCCCAAACCCGTTTCAGGGATCAGGAAGTGAAATATGCCATTTTGCTTAGCTTTGGACTTAAAGAAGAGAAGGAATGACTCTCCTCAAGTGCAATTAGGATGGTATTTCCAGAACCTAAGGAAGTGGACACTGGGCAGTAACAAAGGGAAATGCCCTCTAGAGGGACCARCAGTTCTCTGACACTTAGAAGTAGGGACTCACTTGGCACTTCTTTCATGACCCTCTTCATAGCCTAGCACAATTATGGATCTATTGTAAGTAGAATTTTGCAAAATACATGTTTGCGAGAGTGAATGAGTGAATAAGTACTTTGAAAATTGTACCAAAATTTTTTAGAAGCCCGTTTTTTAATGTTCTCTGTCTAAATGTTTCCATTCATGTTTGCTACAGTACCAGATAAAACATGGAGTGTTTAATCTTTAAGTGTGTAGAACACAAGAGTGATCATTCTTTCCCACATTTTGCTTTTCTTGAAAGGACGCTTATTTTAAAATGCAACAGCTACAGACATGCTCGGTGGTGGGGAGGAGCTATAGAAGAATTCATCCAGAAACACGGCACCAACTTTCTCAAAGATCACCGATTTGGGTCATATGCTGCTGTCCAGGACAACACTTTAGCTAAATGGTAAGATATTTTTGCTCCTGGGCTTCCAAGGTATTCACAGCATCTAATCTTATAGTGATCTAAATTCACCTGGAGTCAAGTTTCTAAACTCCCTCAGTTCTGATTCATATCCTATGGCAAGGCCTCTAAACTGTAAACAGAAAWTATAAATTATATTTTACGAAATTCTTTCTTGCTAAGGCCCTTGTAAGACTACCTGATCATAGTTTAGCTTCCCGGTTTTGAAGTTTTTTCAGTGTAGTTAACTAGCATTAGATTTATAAGTTTGATTTTTAAAACTAACTTCATACATTTTCTTAGTGATGGAAATGGAAGGTTTATTTAAGTCATTAAACATAATTTAGGAAAAAGCATTTACTTAACAGAGATTTCTTTTAAATAAAGTCATGGTTACTCTAATTTCTATTCATGGATTGAATTCCGGTCAGTTTTTAGGTTTCTCAGGAAAACCATGTGGGTGTTGGACAGGATAATTCACCAAACCCATATGATAATGAAGCTCAATTAATCTGTTGCTCTTTAAGCAGAGAGGAGACAGGTCAATTGGGTGTATCTACTCATTGCCCTTCCAGTTGCAGGGGCGGGTTTTGAACTCAGGGGCACTCGGCCATCGAGCCACATCCCCAGCCCTGTTTTGTATTTTATTTAGAGAAAGGGTCCCATTGAGTTCCTTAGCACCTCTTTTTTGCTGAGGCTAACTTTGAACTCAACGATCATCCTGCCTCAGCATACCAAGCCACTGGGATTATAGGCATGCACCACCACACCTGGCTAAGAGTGTTGTATTTTTACTCCTCATTTCCCATTTACACAAAATAAGCTGGTGGTGAGGTAGAGAATCTAGGCAGTGCATCTTGTTTTACTTTATCATATTGTCTTGTTGTGTAATGCCAAAAATGGGACAAAAACTTGTCTTTCAGGTATGTTAATGCCAAAGGATATTTCGAAGATGTGGCAAATGCAATGGAAGAGGCGAAAGAAGAAATTTTTATCACAGATTGGTGGTTAGTATTTTTCCATGAGAAGGAGGTTTCTATGTTTAGAAATACACAAGACCATAAATGCTATTCAAGAATTGCATATTTTGAAAGCCAGTAGTACCCACAGATGGTTTGGCCAAAGTCTCAACTAATTAACTAATATCCTCCAATGAAAGGTCTTTTAAAAATTTTTGACCTTCAGATATAAGCTTAAAATATTTAGCTTGAATAATTTTGTTTTTGTCTTTCCATTTGGAAGCAGATGCCCAAATAATCATTCTAGCAAAGATTATATGCAAATAATCAGTGCAATGCAAATATGGTTGTAGAGGTAATGGGAACCAGTTTTCTTCACTTACCTTAGCGTATCTGTCACCAGGTCCATGTTTCTTTTGGATTGTTCCTTTGTGTTGAAATTATTCTATTTACTCCATTAGTGTTGGACTGTCCACTGTAATGACTCGGCCTGGCCAGCTCTTCTGGAAGTTTAATCAGATCTCCACTTTCTGACCGTCTTTAAAAATGTCTATGAGAGGAATATTGCTTATTAAAGCCACTAGAAGTCTCATATCGAAAACTCATTAGAACGTAGGAAATTTTACTCTTGGAGTTGGTATAGGCTTTGTAGTCTTGACTTCAGTTATAATTACCAGTTTCCCTGGACCRTTAAAACCCATCACAGGTTCCCACGTTGGCTCCCGTGGAAATGAGAATCTCTAGAATATGTTTTCCTTTTAAGAACTTAGTTGCCTGAAATGCCCCTCAGTTATCTCTAGTCTATTTCCTTCCAAATGGTACCTTAGATAAGAAGTGTGAACATGTCATCACAATTTATTTCCTTTCAATTCTAGATTTTGGGGACAGGAAAGTAATAGGAATGTGAGCCATTTACAATATTTTACTACAGTTATGTGAAAATCTGTAATCCTAGGGCCTGCTTTCCCAGACTTGGCACTGTTAACATTTTGGCTACATAATTCTTTGTTGTGGGGCCATCCTATGCATAGTAGGATGTTTAGCAGCATCCCTGCCTTCTACCTACTAAATGTCAGTAGCAAGCTCCCAGTTGTGACAACCAAGATGTCTTGAGACATTGCCAAATGTCTCATAGTTGAGGCAGGAGGAGGTATGCATGGGGTTGGGAGTGTTCTTTTGGTTGAGACTYGTCTATCTAGAGTCAATGGATAAGGCAGGTGATGGTCATTATGCCCTTGTCTKCAGAGGAGCCTAACCCTAGTCTTTATGTCCTTGGTAAATTTTGTCTTTTCAATGATCAGAAGAGTTGCACACTTACAAGTTTTCTTTGGTTGGCTATTTCCTAAACACTTACAGAATACATTCAAGTTTAATGTAGTGCTATAGTTGTTTTAAAAATATTTTATAGAGTTTGGCAAGGTTGAGAGAGTGAAAATAATTTTTCCATTAAACTCACATTTTCATGCTTTATGCAAAAAGCAATATTTTTTCTGAATGTTCTCAACACTAAAATATAGATACTCATTTAAACATCTAAAGAGATGGGACACTGACTGCTTTCTCTTTCAACAAGAGAATGAATCAGGGTGTTATTTCTTTTTCATAACTGTACTAGGGTAACATCTTATTACAACATACCCTTTGAAATAAAACACAGTAACTTACCTCATAAAATGAGAAGAAAATTCTTGCTATTGTCAGTCATTATTCCAAAGAGTATGCAATAATATTTCACTGGGGTTGTAATTTATATCAGCAACATCTCTTCATGGTGGACATGGTGACTTTTGGATATTTGTTAAACTTTTTTGGAAATCTGGGTTCAAATCTTTTTCTTCTCGTTCTTCTTTTTCTGTAGTACTGAGAATCAAAGCCACATTGTTTTTCCTCTTTTTAAAGTTAGTTTGCTTGTCTTCTTAGCCAGTAGAAGGAGAATTTGTGTGTGTGTGTGTGTGTGTGTGTGTATGTGTGTGTGTGTGTGTTGTGTTTATGTTTTAAAAATTGTTTTGGGCTTTGATGTTTTTAGATTATCTCATTATCAGTATTCATATTTTTTTCTTTTCACTTTTTTTATTGGCATATTATAGTTGYACATGATGGGATTTGTTTTTACATGTTTGTACATATACACAATATGACAATATAATTTAGCCAGTGTTGCCCCCAGCACATCCCCCCAGCACATCCCCCCTTCTTCCCCTCTTCCTGCCCCGTAGTCCCTTTCCTCTACTGATCTCCCTTTGATTTTCATGAGATCCCCACTCCCTCACCTTTCTTTCCCTTTTTCCTCTCTAGCTTTCACATATGAGAGAAAACATATGACCCTTGACCTTCTGAGTTTGGCTTTTTTCACTCCACATAATGATCTCAAGTTTATCCACTTTCCAGCAAATGATATAATTTTATCTCTTTAGGAATAAAATTCCATTGGGTCTGTATGCCACATTTTCTTTATCCATTCATCTRYTGATRGAMRCCTRGGCTGGTTCCATAGTTTGGCTATTGTAAATTGTGCTGCTATAAACATGGGCATGCATGTATCTCTATAGTATGATGATTTCAATTCTTTAGGTTAAATACCAAGGAGTGGTGGAGCTGGGACACATGATGGTTCCATGTCTCGTCTTTTGAGGAATCTCCATACTAATGTCGATAACATCATAACTTACAGTCATGTCCATAACTTACAGTCCCATGAACAGTGTAAATGTTCCCTTTTCTCCACATCCTCAGTAGGAGGTCTTTACATTCTAGTTAAAGTAGTTGTTCTATTTCATTCTGGACTCCATGGTTTCTGATGCGAATTTTTTGTCACTTGAATTGTTATTTACCTCTAAATAATGTGTAATTTTTCTTGTGAGTGCTTTCAGTATTTTCCCCATTATTTTTAGTTTTCAGTAGTTTGGTTATATTATTTGGGTTTATCCTTTTGGGGGGAACTCTGAGCTTCTTGAATCTGTAGTTGTATGTCTTTAGCCACATTTGAGAAATTCTTACCATTGTTTCTTGAGACTTTTTTCCCCCCTTTGGTAATTTTCTCTTCTTCTATGTTTCCAGTGACACAAAAAGTGCTTTTTTTGGTAATGTCTCACGGTTGTGAATCTCTGTTTCTTTTTTCCCCCAATCTTTTCTCTCTTGTTCAGATTAGATTATTTATTTTTAGCTATCTTCAGGTTTACTGCTTCATTCCTCTGTTCTCTCTATTTTGGTACTGAGCCTATTCAATGAGATTTGCTTTTTTTTTTCATGTTTTTGTGGAAATTGTATTTTTCATTTTGAAAGTTTCTGTTTGGTTCAATTTATATCTTCAATTTCTTTGAGGAAACTTTCTTCCTTTCTCTTTGTTTTAAGAGTGTTCAACCTTACTTATTGCAGTATTTTTATAATACCTGAGAAGGGATTAAACTAGATAATACCAACCTCCATGTCATTTTCCTGTTGACATCTGTTGGTTATTTTTTCCATGATAGTTGAGAATTTTCTGGTTCTTTTTGTGCCCAATACTTTTTATTATATTTTAGAAAAGTTTAATATTATAAGACAATGAGCTTTTAAATCTTATGGGGAGTGTGGTAATTTCTATTTTAGTAAGTGGTTGACTCATTTTGATTTAGGCAGAAAATTCTAACCAGACTTCCAGGGTATGGGTTTTTTAAAAAAATATATATAAATTATATATATATGACAGCAGAATACATTTTGATTCATTGTACACAATTGCAGTACAACTTTTTATTTCTCTGATTGTACACGATGTAGCATTGCACCATATGTGCAGTCATACATGAACCTAGGATAATGATGTCCATCTCATTCCACCATCTTTTCTGCCCCCACACTCCCTACCCTTCTCTCCCTCCCCTTGGTCCAATCAAAAGTTTCTCCATTTTTCCCCCACACTCCCCGCAATTATGGATCAGCATCCACTTATCAGAGAGAACATTTGGCCTTTGGTTTTGGGGGGATTGGCTTGCTTCGCTTAGCATGATATTTTCCACTTCCATCCATTTACCTGCAAATGCCATAATTTTATTTTCTTTTATTGCTGAGTAATATTCCATTGTGTGTGTGTGTGTGTGTGTGTGTGTGTGTGTGTGTGTATATATATATATTTATAAAATAGTTTCTTTATCCATTCATCTATTGAAGGGAATCTAGGTTGGTTTCACAATTTAACTACTATGAATTGAGCTACTATAAACATTGGCGTGGCTGTGTTATCAGCTATAGTATGCTGATTTTAAGTYCTTTGGGTATAGACGAAGGAGTGGGATAGCTGGGTCAAATGGTGGTTCCATTCCAAGTTTTCTAAGGAATTTCCATAGTGCTTTCCAGATTACTTGCACCACCAGCAATGTCTGGGGGGTATGGTTTTATGTCAGTTTTGTTTTTAAAATTTTTATAGCACTGTTTAGGTGTTTCCATATATGTGCCACCTAGTGGCCAGTCTGAGTGTTGATCTGTTTGGTTCTCAAATTCCAGTATGCTGTTTTAGAATTAAATCCATGCACATGGATAATTTGGGACTGAGCCAGAGGATTATAAACAACTTTATGGGATTGCTTTCCTGAGCCTCTCCTTCTCCATGATCTCTCAACTACTTTCTAGTTCACAACCTCCCTTTTTAGTGCTCTAACTGGAAAGGTTAGTTTTTATTTACCCTGTTCTGCCACATGATTTTTGTGATAGCACCCCTGTGCAGAGCCACACCTTGGGAAGTTACATGACCCTCTTGGGATCATTGCTCTTCCAACTGGAAAAAAAAGCTCCATACACAGAGTTTTTGTGCCTGTGGGCTCTCTTTTTTCTCTCTTTCTTTTCTTTCTTTCTTCTTCCCAGTACCAGGGATTGAACACAGAGGTACTCTAAGCTATATTCCCAGTTCTTTTTATTTTTGTTTTGAGATAGGACCTTGCAAAGTTGCCTTAGGTAGGTCTTGAACTTGCAATCCTATTGCCTCAGCTTCTGAGTAACTAGGATTGTAGGCATGTACTACCACACCCAGCTGCCTGTGGACTCTCTGCTACAATTCCTGATGCTGCAAAAAAAAACCCCATTTCTTTCTTGTCAAACCTGAACTGGAGGACTTCCGTGTTCTCTCTGTGTCAATCCCATTTCCAGATTTTCCTCCAGACCAAGGAGACCAAAGGAAAAAAATAGTAAATATATCACTGGTTACATGGCACTTCAAATTCTGTTTTTCTTTTTTAATATTGAGTCCATCAATTCATGAACACTACATAGTTCTCCATTTATTTAGATTTAATATAATTTTTCTCAGCACTATTTTGTACTTTTCTATGTTGAGGTCTTATGTATATTTTGTTAAATTTGTCACTAAGTACTTCATATTTTTTCGTGTTATTGTAAATGGCATGAAAATTCATTTTCAATTATTCACTGAGCATAAAGAACTAGAAGTTCAACTGATTTTGGGGTATTAACTTTCTATCTAAATTCACTTATTACTGCTAGCAAACTTTTTGTAGATTCCTTAGCATTTTTCTCCATACATGATTGTGTGACCTACAAATCAAGATGATTAGCCTCCTGCCTTTTAAATTCATATGTCTTATGTTTTATTCTCCTGCCTTATTCCATTGGCTAAAATCACCAATAGAATGTTGACTAGAAATGGAAAGGTGGATCTCCATACCTTGTTCCCAGTGTTAGGAGAAAACATTCAGTCTTTTATAACTGTGTTTGATATATATATATATATATATATATATATATATATATATATATATATATATGGATAAAAAATTTTAAAAAAGCTTTTCATTATATATATATATTTTTTTTTAAACAATTATTTTGTTTATTTATTTTTATGTGGTGTGAGGATTGAACCCAGTGACGCACACATGTGAGGCAAGTGCTCTATTGCTGAGCCCCAATCCCAGTCCCGAGATATATATTTTTTTATAATGGCCCTTTACTGAGCAAGTTCATTTCTAGTTATAATTTGTAAAGAGTTTTCATTGGGAATGAAATTAAACTTTATTAGATTTTTTTTCTACAAAATTTATTGAAGCTGTCTTGTGTTTTTAGGATAACCCCATTGGTTCTAAGATACTATCATTTTTATAAGCTGCTGAATTTTTGGTAAAGATTTTCATTGTTATGGTCATATTTAATGTTGGCTTCTTTAAATTATTTAGTATTGTCTCCTACTTTATTTTCTGAAAGAGTTTGGGTAGGATTGACATTTCTTCCTTAATTATTTGATAAAATTTACCTATAGTTTTCCCTTGTGAGAAAGTTTTAAAGTATGGATTTAATTTTTTAAAGATAAAGGATTAATATGAATTTCTTTTTGTTACCATTATAGAATTTTTTTCAAGGAATTTGTCCATTGTATCTAAATTATCATAAATACTGGCATAACTTTATTTATAATATTCTTATTAAGCATTTAATATTATTTGAATATCTATAGGGCTTGTAGTGGTTTCTCATCCTCATTTATTTCATATTGCTAATTTATGCTTCTTCCTTTTAAGAAAATTTGCTAAAAGTTTACCAATTTTAGTGATATTTCTTTTTTTCTTTTCTTTTTTTTTTAAAGAGAGTGAGAGAGGAGAGAGAGAAAGAATTTTCAATATTTATTTTTCAGTTGGCGGACACAACATCTTTGTTGGTATGTGGTGCTGAGGATCGAACCCGGGCCGCACGCATGCCAGGCGAGCGCGCCTACCACTGAGCCACAACCCCAGCCCCAATTTTAGTGATATTTCAAAGATAGCTTTTCATTTTATCAAATTTACTGTTTCTCACTTTTATGTTTCATCAATCTTCACTTTTATCCTTATTATTTTCTTCCTTCTTTTCACTTTGACTGTAACTTGTTCTGTCTTCTTAAGCTCTAGAGAATCACTGATTTTAATCCTTTTGTTTTCTTGTATAAGCATCGAAAGCCATAAAACCTTCCAAGTAGTACTTTCAGTTAAAGGCACATTTTTTAAAAAATATATTTTTAGTTGTAGATGGACACAAAACCTTTATTTCATTTATTTTTATGTGGTGCTGAGAAACAAACCCAGTGCCTCCCATGTGCTAGGCAAGCTCTCTACCATGGAGCTACAATCCCAGTGCCTGAAAGGCATATTTTAACATCTCTGAAATCAGGGTGCATTCTACACACTGTACCATCTTATTGTTGTAATTGTCACCATTTTTTTTTTTCTTGGCGGTACAGTCATTGGTGTCCAAGGGTCAGTGAAATGCCATATTATGCTATTCTTTTGACTTGCATAGTAAAATATGTATGGTCCTAATATAAAGATGCCTGGTAAATCATAGCTGCTTTCTCCCTGCCATGTGGCCATTATTTGCACTTTGTTTATAGTCTGAATATTTGCCTTATATCTTTTTATGCATTATCCTCAAAACTGAGAGCCTCTTGGGAGCCATCTTAAGATCCTTCAAACTATCTAGTAGAATACTCTGCATTCTGGGTACACAGTGCTCATGGGATAAGTAATGTAAAAAATTTATGGAGTATACCATTGAAAGTGGTCCCCAACTGAAATTCTCTGAATTCATAATTAGTGTGTATCTCAAAAACATTGACAGGATGTATGTGGCATGTGTCATTTATTTGTTTATTTGGACATAAACTACTTTTGAGCTTATTTCCTACTCTAAGTGTTTATGCTATATGCCTGCCTCTCTTTTTTTTTTTAGGCTATCCAATGTATTTCCTTTAGAAGATTTAATTTTTTTTTCCCAATTCAATGAAATAGAGTAGAAAATGATTTCTTTTCCTCTTTTTGGCTCCCGTCAACCCTGTTGTTTCAGTGTGCTTAGGGAACCCCCTGGCAGGACAGTGTCCAGTCTAGAATTCTAGGAGGCTGTACTCTGCACTGTCCACTCACTCCTCCGGGCCTAGCATTCCAGAGAAGAGCTCTTTGACTGCTTGTTTTTCATCTTTGTAAGAGAATGGCATTGAATATAGATTTAGTTCACGCTGACTTTAAAGCCCACCCCAGGGGAAAGCATGACAGCTATATTCTGAGCTGCCTTGTGGTACCACTAAGGGAGAGGAGACCAGAGGCCCACCCTCGCACTGGGAGAATTTCACAGATCGGCACACCTTCCTCCTTCCATGCTCAGACAGCCTCTGGCTTCCATGGATGCTGCTGCTGGCAGAGGAAGTCAGTGAGCATGTGTATCAGGCTGCTCTTGGCTTGAGGTAACCGAATGCTCAGTTAAAGAACCTTCAACACTGAGGGTTTATTCCTCTTATTTAACGAGAAATCTAAAGTTGAGCAATCCGAGAGCTGAAGGAGGGTTCGGATCTTCCCATTATAATTTCAGTATGGTTGCACCACTGTGAGCGCTTGCCTCCATATAAAGCCCATCCTAAAACTGGAGGGGATGGGCAGAACTTTCTCTGTGTATGCACATGCCTGCATGTCTCAAAAAAAAAAAAAAAAGGAGGAAAAGCATTCTCATTAACCCCATGTACCTACTCATGTATATCTCATCATCCAGGATCATGTCACAGCATGCTGTAGCTACACAGGAAACTGAGGAAGGTAGTATTTAGGATGTTCAGATGCTATAGTGGGATGCAGGCGCTGACAGCAAGGAGGGGGGAGAGTGGAGAACGACTGCAGGGTGAGCATTCGACAGGATCTGCATGTATATAAATGTATGTGTGTGTGTGTGAGAGAGAGAGAAATGGACATAGAGTTGTGGGGTTTTTTGTTTGTTTGTTTGTTTTGGGGGAGGCGAGGTACGAACTGGAGATTGAACCCAGGGCTTCACACAAGCTAAGCATGGGTCCTACCATTGAGCAACATCCTCAGTGATATATATATGGTTTCTATTTCCCATGACGTTGCTCATGGACCCACCACAGTAGAATATGGTGATAGCATCTGGTCTAAAACTGCCTTTGATTTTTTTGACATGATCAAAACTTTATATTTCATTTTAGTGACTTGAAATCTTGGTTTTATGATTTCAGGTTGAGCCCAGAAATCTTCCTGAAACGCCCAGTGGTGGAAGGAAATCGTTGGAGGTTGGACTGCATTCTTAAACGAAAAGCAGTATGTATTTTCTTAACAAATGCTGATATAATTTTTAAAATGTAACAAGCTCTTCCTGTATATTTACAACTTTTTACTGTAGAGTTCAATCTAAAACAGGTTTCTGTTTTTCAGTTCATTTGGTTCTGTTTTTAAATTACTTTTGAGTATATAAATATTTTAGCCTAATTCATAGCCCAGATTATACTAGAAGCTCTAATTTATGTTGGTTAGTTATGACCAGTTAATTTAATAGGTCAAAAATTGTAATAAAACTTCATTGGTGAATAATTGATGATGAAATGAAACACAGCCTTTATTTAGTTCATTATCTGTCATTAAGCAGAAGACAAAGTAATTTGGAGAATGTTTCAGTCAGATGGGGCCAAGCTGGTATAGAGGAGGATAGTAAAAATCAATGGRATTTTGTTTCCAATTTGGGCTCAGTTCACAGTAATAATATGAAACATTTCCTGTAGATTCTGTGTGAGCAATGAGGATATCTTTTTGTTATACAAAGTGAATAATTGGAGCAGTGAAAGCTCAATCAATCATGACTGCATTCATGTTGCTAATGAATTCTGTTTGTGTAGTGGACCTTCCAAATTAAATTAAAATGATCTGGGTTTGTTACCAATCATGTTCAAATTAGTGAGTGCTCACCTTGTCACTCCTATTTGGAACTGTCTTAATCTTTTATTTTATTTTTTCCCCCTGTCATTGAACATTCTAGTGGATTTGGATGCTGAGTAACTAAGGGATAGTGTTTCTGTGTCTCACAGGCTCCACTGGTTTCTTCCTATCTTCTAAATGAACCCTTTCCCCACACACTCTCCCCCCCCATCATCTCCCCATGCCTTTATATCAGACCTTCCACCGATGTCCATAGACGGTCAAACTTCGCTGCTGATACTGAGGGAAATACAAGTTGATCAGCTCTTTTCAGACACATATTCTACCAACAATACCTTTTTGATAGACAAATTTGTTCCTCTCACAAAATTGGAAATTCAGATCCTGATGATCAGTATTCAAATGTTCTTTTAAAAAATCAGTCACAGAGGGTCTCCTATGAGCCAGATACCCCAGGAATCAATAGGCAGGGTGTCTCAGTGAATGGGATTCTGGCCCTGCCCATGGAGGTCTTACTSAAGGAATCAGGTCCCGGGCTCACACCTAGCCTTACCAAGTTTCTTCCTACCTACTGAATGGGCTGTGACTTTCCCCATGTTTTTCTCTGTGAAATGGCAGCTTTCCCATTTCCCCTCAAGATTCCATTTAGTCAAACTTCCYAGTCACGCCTTGCTATCTTCACTCATACCGTGAAGTCCTCTCCTCAGAGCATTTACCCAGTACTTCACTGTTTTAGGTTTCTGTCAACACATATTTGATGAATGCCTACTATGTGCTGAGACTTGGATAATCATACTGAGATGTATTTAAATAAAAGCCACAATTCCTGAGCTGAGGGAGCTTAAAAAGCAACACATGTATCAATTGAGTACAGAGACAGTGCCCAGATACAAAGGCAAGAGGAAGAGCATTGGGTAGGTCTGGTTGGGGAGCCCCCCCACACACACACAATATGAATAATGGACAGCATTTAGGATGGGCCAACAGTTTTGAAAAAGAAAGAAGAAATTACTAAGTGCAGTAAATGTTGAGGGAACAGGAATTAGAGAGACTGTCAGTCACAGTGAGATGACAAGGCTGTGATGCCTTAGTGTTAGCATAGGCAGGATGGGCTGCAACCAAAGTGCCTGTTTGCAGCTAGGATGTGGGACTCTGGGAGCCAAGCCAGTGGTTTGGACTTTATGGTAAACAGTAAGGATGTTCTGTGGGGAAGCACAGGGTCAAAGTGTGGGGGGTTGGTCTTATCCAAATGGTGTTCAGGAAAAGTGAGGAAAAAATGGGGAGAACTCAAATTCTGAAAACTTAATTCTGTTTGTTTGTTTTGCAATGCTGGGGATCAAATCAAGGGCCTCTAAGTGCTATACCACTAAGCCACAACCCAACCCTAAAAAGCTAAATTTTAGATTCTCTTGAGTGTGGTGTGTCTGTAGGAAGCTTATGTGAACTTGAGAAAGCCTGAGGAGGACTCAGAACCATCCTGCAGGCCTATCCCTTACCCCCTGTTAACTGGCAAGTGTTTTCTTCTGCCTTCGATGTACCTGCCTGGTTGTCTTTATGTCATTGGTGTGGCTTCTCTTTGCTTTTATGGCCCACGAACCCTGGTGAGGGCCCTGTGGCTACCATGACCAAGGAAGCATTATTGTTTGATAATGGAGCTTTGTTTCCTGTTCRTCTACTTTCTGAAGTTTGTAATTTTTAAATTATGGAAAATGATTTTTAAATTTCCTAAGGAAATAGTACTACTATTAAAAATTAATGTCTCAATGGTACATTTAGTGGGTGTTCCTTCCTTAATCTCGAACATACGGTATTTCTTCTTTGATCATAAATTTTTAAACACTCATATCATTCCAATTTGACAATTCATATGCACATAAACACTGCTTTTGCATAACTAATTTAGTTTCTGAAAGCCACATACTACTCTTGCAGTGAATAGGATTGAAACATAATATTTGCATTAATGGGTCCCAGAGGTCCACAAGGTTGATTAAAATTAATGCTTTTGTTTTTATATCTTGGTTTGCAGGGCTTTTTTTTCTTTTCTTTTTCTCTCTCTCTTTTTTTTTTGGAAAGGAGTTTAGAAAGCATTTTTGCCTCATAGCAACATATCGACGAACATCTCTTATAATGTCTGTTTCTTATGGGAAAGTACAATATTTTGTTGTACCGGTTATAGCCAAGTTGATATTTTCCTGTTTCTTKAGCTTCCTGCTATGCAGTATCACCATTTTCAGTGGGGGAAAGCCAATGTTGATAGGCAGAGTGTTCACAGCTTTAAGAAAGCAGCATCCCAGGGGTTCCACAGTTCCTCATTCACGGCACTAAGAGATAATACATTGTGTCATAGTTATGTGACCACGTGCCTGCACCCTAATAGTGTGTTTCAACCTTAGAAATAAGTGATATTCCTTATGAGAACTACAACGTGGAATCTTCAAGTGCAGTAACCTGGAGAGGCACAGAAGAAGGTTTTTTTTGTTTTGTTTTTAGGCTGAATTTGTCTGCAGGTTTCTTTCTTCTCTTGCAACACAAGGCACATGATGGAGCTGTAGCCATTGATCAGCAAAAGGGAAGGATGTCTGTGTCTGAGAAATCACACAAATAATCACATCTCTGCACAGAAAACCAGTGGACTCTTACCAAGTTGTAGGCCAGGATGGCTTGTATGGAAGGGGAGAACRTATCTTTCACCTTCAGGACCATGTTTCTAACAAAATTGGTTAAAACAAAACAAAAAAAAGCACATGAGCAGTTATATTTCAGTGCTTCTTGCTTTTAAATGGTGAGAATGTGATTGCTGCTTATTCTTTGCTTTTCATTTTCCTAATATATTGTATCTCTGGGGAAGTCCTTGGTAAATGATAAAATCAGTGATTATAATGTGATGCAGGGTATGTAAAGTAAGCTATTTTCAGACACTGGGTGAATTGGGCTGCATTTAGAAAATATTTTAACCATACTATTTTGAATAATCAGGAAAAAACGTTGATCAAGAAACAAAGTCTGTTTCATTTCCACCATAAATGTTAAAAAATTTATTTTCACTGTTTTTACAAGTATTTTGTATATCTCACTACAGCTTCTCAAAATTCCTACTGTTGATCATGTTGTGTCTGCTGTACTTGATGAGACACTCATTAGAAAAGAGGACAGAACTTTCATCTTTTGAGACTTATGTTTCGTGGGGTTTATTCTCTGGGACCTTTGGGTTGAATTGGTTAGTTCAGTGGCAACAGGAAATGTGGCATTGCAGAAGAAATATCCCTCTCCCTACTTCCCCTATTGGTATTTGGCTTCCTCTTCTCTGAGCAAAAAGTAATTTCCTCTAGGGCCACTCAAAGGCATTAGTAAGAGGCGGGTGTTTGAAAGTGTACATTTTTAAATTACAGAATTAATGCCAGTTCTTTTTGTCCATTTGCCTTTTGATTTGCAGAATTATTTCTCACATGTTTTATCAGCCCATACTATCACAACAAAGCAAATACCTTTGTTGCCAAGGAACTATTTTCCTCTGTTCTTCATAGAGTTCAATAGTGTTGAAATACCATGACCAAAAGAAGAGGAAATTACTGCTTTATTGTCACAGAATTCTTTTCAGTAGTTAGCTATTTATTGTGGCTATAGGTGGAAGTAAATTATTRTAAACCATATTTAAAATGGCCTTTTTATATTTAATTACTTCCTTGTTAGTCATTTGTATTTATGATAAAAAGACTTAAAAGTCTCTACCCTATTTCCTTTAGAGTTAATTTATTTAAATGAGAAAAGCAATAATGTAGAAGAAAATGTCAGGTATTAATAAATGGAAGGTAATAATGTAATCCATTAGTGTTAACATCTCTGTTATTTAAAAAATCCATTAGTTATGCAGGTAAATGGAAAACTGCAGGATTCAGGCCAAGTTCMTAATTTGCAACTACTGCCCTGCATGAGTAATAATGTCTTCAGTCTAAGAAGTAGAACTTCATCCATTTAAAACAAATGAACCATGATGAAAGATGTCAGGTGTAAGAGTCTATAATTTAGGTTGAAATTTGGGGTTTTAAGCTTTATATTCTGTTTTTCATTGGGAAAATCTCTTTCCCTTTTTATTTTGGTAACCATTATTCAGGGCTGAATCCTGAAATACTCAAATAGCAAAATAGACCTGAACAGTAGAGGAGAATAATAAAATAATCTAGTTCTACTTTACAGCTCCCAGAGCAAAGGTGAACCTTCTGGTATTCAGATCTGCTTACTGTATACCAGAATGTAAATCTAATGTGTCCCTTCAAAAATATATACACTTTCAGATATCGCTAACATCAAGAGAGATGGGATATTAGCATTTTGAAGTGATGTTGTGTTATAAGGAATTCAGGACCCAAAACTTTCATCTTAGTATTGACAGAACAACACTAGGGGACTGTTATGTTTTTTTCTAAGATTTTTATGTTCTGTGATCTGCTACCTAAAAATATGAACTTTGATGTTATTTCACATTTCAGAGCATTGCAAAAATATTCACTTCTTATGCATTAGATGAATTCAACTCCGTAAAACTTCTTAATTTTTTGATTCATATTTCCATTGTGAACAATGACTAATTACTGTGAAATGTTAGTTTAAGCTATAACTAAATAATTCCTTGTCATCATAGTTTATTAGATAGAGTGGCATCTCTAACACTCTAGAAAGTATTATGGAAAAATTCTTGCCTTTAATCTCAACGGTGTTAAATGCCTAGGTATAATTTAGATTTGTAGTCTTTTAGGCATGTGGATATGTTTCCGAAAGCCTTCAGATCTGCTGGGTAAAAAGAATGCAAATTAAAACGGTACAGACTGCAGAGAAATCCTGAGGGTACAAACCAAAAAGTAAAAAAGCAATCCACAAATTAGTCTGAATATTTCCTGGCAGAAATGGATCCTGCACTGTATGTGGAAGAGGGTCCCAACAAGTGGACAGGGAAGACAGGAGGCTTCAGGTGGGGGGCAGCTTAACCTGGTCCAAAAGCCAGTCACCACCCAGACCTAACGTAGAAAACACTCATGTTTTTCTGTACCAGTTGTTGGACATTGTCTCTTTAATGGTTCATATTAATAATGTTATTTTAATATTAGAGCTTACCCAGCACTTTTAAAATTTTATTTTGTTAATGTTGCATGGATCATAACAGCCTTGTCTCTTTTCATTTAGATACAAAATCTAAGGATGCACCCGTGTTAATTTGTGTCCATTTTACTCTAAACTCCCATTGGATCTCAGGGACTTTTTTTTAAAATGCTAGAGAAGCTTCCTTCTGAAGATGTCCTTTCACAAGTGAAGTAGAGATTGATAATCTCCTTGTGAGTTAAGAGGATGAACCAAGATATTTATCTTTTAAGATTAAGGAATACTTTCTCTGTTTCCCTGCATTAGAGCAGATTATGCTAAGTGAAGTTAGCCAATCCCCCCAAAAAACAAATGCCCAGTGTTTTCTCTGATATAAGAGGGGTAACTCAAAATGGGGTAGGGAAGAAGAGCATGAGAAGAAGATCACCTCTAGATAGGGAAGAGAGATGGGAGGAAATGGGAGGGAGAAGAGGAATTGCATGGATGGTGGAAGGAGACCCTCATCATTATACAAAATACATGTATGAAGATGTGAAARAAAAAAAGAATAGTCTTACCTTAGATTAGGTAGAGAGAAGTGATGAGAGGGGAGGGGAGGGTAGGAGATGGGGGGATAGGAAGGATAGTAGAATGAAACAGACATTATTATTGCTTTGGGTATATACGTGACTATATGACCAATATGATTCTGCAACCTGTACACTCAGAAAAATGAGAAATTATATCCCATCTGATTCAAATGTTTGATATGTCAAGGTCATTGTACTGTCATGTGTAACTAAGTCAAACAAATAAAAAGAATGTCAGAAACACAAAAAAATTAAAATAAAAATAAAATTTAAAATATTAAAAAAGGAATACTTTCTCCATTTAAATAAATTTTTTAAATAAAATTCTATGAAAATACCTCCCCCCCAACACTTCAGGGATATTTAGCATATGCAATTGTGTCTAAGTTTCTCCTCATTATTATTTAAACTAATTGAGGTATGATGTTAGTAAACAGGCAAAATCCCTAATCCTGTCACGTGGCTCAGGTTAGAACTTCCCTCAGTGAGTTGGGGAAAATTAAGAATGCAGGACTATAGGACATGTTCAGCAGTTGAGGTTACTATTTCAACACTCTAGTTCTGTAATCAGTTGAATGTGGACACTCTTTTGATATAAGTGGTAAGAATGCAAATATAACAATATATATATATATATTTTTTTCTATTTCTGTCAATATATAGTTATATGTCACCTCTTTGTATTGCCTTTTTCATTAAATATTTTATTGTACCTATTTTTAGAAGAAAGCGAGTACAACACAGAGAAAAAGAAGAAAAGGCAACCCCCCAGCACCTTCGGAGACACTCATTCTCCATGTGTTTTCTCTTGTGGCAGCAACAGGGCGTGCGGATCTTCATAATGCTCTACAAAGAAGTGGAGCTGGCCCTGGGCATCAAYAGTGAGTACACCAAGAGGACTTTAATGCGGCTGCACCCCAACATAAAGGTATCTACCTTCATCCCGGACACCAGTGTTTCTTACTGTTCTGTAGGATTTTTTAGGATATGATTTACTCTGGGTGGTCATCATCTATACACTTCCCTAACGTTTTGATTAAATAGATTTCAGTCCTCAGAAATAAAACAAAATACTATTCTTTCTTACACTCCCCAAATGCTCAGGGGTGGGCAGATCTCACTTCTGTTTCTCTAAACCTAATTGAAAGTGATAGTTGAGTCAAGAACATGCTTTYTACAGTTGTTTTAATATTCAAGAGCCCTGTCAAGTTCTCAAGATTTCTCATTAAGTTGTCCTGGAACCACATAGATGTGCCATCCCTGTGGAATCCCTGGCTCTTTGATGGCAGCAGAGACCTCTCTTAGGATTTAAAATGCCTTCAAAAAAAATCCAATAGTACCTAGTATAAAATATGAATAAAGCAAATAACAGGGTAAGCAATGTGAAAAGGTTCTTTGAGATTTCACCAAAGACCTAAACCTATCAAAAATATCATCCAGTCATTGAGATACATCAAGACATAATGAATTAGTGAATCTCCAGCAGGCTTAAGAGGTATAGCGATTACATTTTTCATTTGGTTCAAATWTCCCACAGAGAATGAGTTGAGTTGCATCATTTCTAAACCTTCAAGGTTCATTTACCAGATTTCTGTCTAGCACTTACTAAAGATATAAATTTTGTAACATCAGCAACTGAGAGCAGTGAAGTTGGAGCTGTTAAATGAGCAGAGTTTTTATGTTACTGCAGTCAAATCAGTATAAATTCAAATTAGACCCACATAACTACAGTTATATTAGAAACAAAGATGCCAAAAACATACACTGGAGAAAAGATAGCCTCTTCAACAAATGGTACGGGGAAAACTGGAAATCCACATGTAACAAAATKAAATTAAACCTCTGTCTCTCTCACCATGAACAAAACTCAACTCAAAGTGGATCAAGGACCTAGGAATTAAACCAGAGACCTTGTACCTAATGGAAGAAAATGTAGGCCCAAATCGCCATCATGTCAGTTTAGGCCCTAACTTTCTTAATAAGACTCCTATAGCACAAGAATTAAAACCAAGAATCAATAAATGGGATGGAATCAAACTAAAAAGTTTTTTCTCAGCAAAAGAAACAATCAGTGAGGTGAATAGAGAGCCTTCAGAACAGGAGCAAATCTTTACCACAAGCACACGAGATAGAGCACTAATCTCTAGGATATATAAAGTACTCAAAAACCTTGACACCAGAAAAACAGATAACCCAATCAAAAAATGGACCAAGGAACTGAACAGACACTTCTCAGAAGAGGATATATAGTAAATCAACAAACATATGAAAAAATGTTCAACATCTCTAGCAATTACAGAAATGTAAATCAAAACTACTCTAAGATTTCACCTCACTCCAGTCAGAATGGCAGCTATCAAGAATACAAATAAATAAAAATAAAATAAAAGCTCATCAACAACTAAAAAAAAATTTTTTTAAAAAAGAATACAAACAACAGTAAGTGTTGGCAAGGATGTGGGGGAAAAGGCACGGTCATACATTGCTAGTGGGACTGCAAATTGGTGTAGCCAATCTGGAAAGCAGTATGGAGATTCCTTGGAAAACTTGGAATGGAACCATGATTTGACCCAGCTATCCCACTCCTTAGTTTATACCCAAAGGACTTTAAAACAACATACTACAAGGACACAGCCATATCATTGTTTATTACAGCACAATTCACAATAGCTAAATTGTGGGACCAACCCAGATGCCCTTCAGTAGATGAATGAATAGGGAAATTTTGGTGTGTAAATATACACAATGAATATTACTCATCATTAAAAGAGAATAAAATCATGGCATTTGCAAGTAAATGGATGGAGTTGGAGAATATAATGCTAAGTGAAATGAGCCAATCCCAAAAAACTAAAGGCCGAATGTTTTCTTTGATATGAGGATGCAGACTCATAATGGTGATKGAGCGGAGAGCATGGGAGGAATGGAGGAACTTTAGATAAGGCAAGGGGGAAGGAAGGGGCAAGGGGATAGGAATGATGGTGGAATGACTTAGACATCTTTACCCTAAGTACATGTATGAAGACACAAATGGTGTGAAAATACTTTGTGTACAATCAGTGATTTGAAAAGGTGTGCTGTATATATGTAATATGAAATGAATTGCAGTCTGCCATCATATATAACAAATTAGAATAAATAAATAATTTTTTAAAAAGCATATTCATAAAWTTTTTTTWAAAAAAATTCAAATTAGAGTGTTACTGCTTCAGGAGATTAATATGGTTCCCATGGTAACCACATAGAAAATAGTTACAGAAWGTATACAGCAGGAAATAAGAATTTAAACAACTTACTGTAAAAAATACCAACTAAATGCAAAAAAGACAGTGATGCAGGAAATGTGGGCCAAAAAACAAGGACACAAAATGACAGAAGTAAGTCCTGTATTATTAACAATTAATTTTAAATGTTCATAGATTGAACTATCTAATGAAAAAAGAGGTATTAGGGCCTGAAATGCAGCTCAGTGGTGGAATACTTGCTTCACATGAGCAAAGCTCTAGGTTCAATTTTTAGCATGGCAAATMAAAATAAGATAATAATAATAATAAATTTTAAGATTCTTCAATAAAATAAAACTTTAGTAAAAAAGAATGGATTAAAAACACACAATCCTCTGGGTATGGTGGCGCATGTCTGTAATCCCAATGGCTCGGGAGGCTGAGACAGGAGGATCATGAATTCAAAGCCAGCTTCAGCAATGGCGAGGTGCCAAGCAACTCAGTGAGACCCTGCCTCTAAATAAAGTACAAAATAGGGCTGGAGATGTGGCTCAGTGTCCCCCTGAATTCAATCCCTGGTATACAAAAAAAWAATAATAATAATAAATAACCCCACACAATCTAACTATGTGTTGTCTATAGGATATTCACTCTAGATGCAAAGACTCAGGTTGAAAGTGAAAGGATGGAGAGGATAGTCCACACAGTAATTAAAGAAAGGAGTGGCTAATTAATATCAGATAAACAAAATAGACTTTAAATCAAAAGCCGACTATAAGAGATGAAGGACATAATATTAATAACAGGTTTAATATAGCAGGAAGAGAAAAAATTATATAAGCATTTATGCACCAAATAACCACCACCAAAATGTACAAAGGAAAATGTACAAAGGAAAACAACTGAAAGGAGAAAAAGGTATTTCTAAAAAAATAATAGTTGGATCCTTCRATACCCAACTCTCTGATGAGTAGAGCAAGAAAATAGAAGACCTAATAGACCAGAACAACTAGGTCTAATGGACACGTGCAAAGCTCTCTACTCAACAACAGTAGGCATACTCAACCATGCATGGAATATTTTCCAGGAGAGACAATCTGTTAGGCCATGAATTAAATCTTAATAGATTTTAACAGGCAGATATCATTACAAACATCTTTCTGACCATAAAGGGATGAAATTAGAAATCCGCAACAGAAGGGAAACTGAGTAGACAACATACTGTTGAACAAGTAATAGATCAAAGAAGAAATCATAAGAATATCCTTAGGAGACAAAATAAAACAACATAAAACTTAAAGTACAGAGAAAAACAGTGCAAAGGGGAAAATTTATAGCTACAAAGGCTCTATTAAAAAATAAATAAGCTGGGRCTGGGGTTGTGGCTCAGAGGTAGAGCGCTCGCCTAGCATGGGTGAGGCACTGGGTTCGATCCTCAGTGCAGCATAAATATAAAATATATTGTGTCCACCTATAACTAAAAAATATTTTAAAAAGAAATAAGTTCTCAAAAACCCCACATAACTTTGTAACTTAAGGAACTAGAGGAAGAACAAACTCAAACCAAAGCTAGCAGAAGGAAGGAAATAAAGAGACAAAAATAACACAGAAAATCAATGAAAAGTGAAACCAATAATTGGTTTTTAGAAAATATCAGCAAAATTGGCAAAAATAACTAGATAGGCTAAGAAAAATGGAGATGACTCAGAAATGCATTGTAGACATTACTACCAATCCTCCAGAAATAAAAAAGGGTTCTAAGAGATTACTATCCAAAACTGTACACCAACAAATTAAATAACCTAGATGAAATGGACAAAATTCTAGCAAAATAAAACTCCAAGACTAACCTATGAAGAAAATATAAAGTCTAAATAGATCTGTTAACTAATAAGGAGGCTGATTGGTAATTGGAAATCTCCCCAAAGACTAAAGCCCTGGATCCTACAGCTTCACTGATGAATTTTACCAAACATTTAAGTAAGAACTAACAAGAATCCTTCTCAAACTTTTCCAAAAATTGAACAGGAGTGAACTCTACAACTCTGATACCACTGAACTGTACACTTAAAAATGGTTATGGTGGTAAGTTTTATGTCGTGTGTATTTTGCCACAATAAAAAAGTATTTGCCTAAGTTTTTGAAATGTGTTTACTTAGAAGCTTATTAAAATAGAATAGTTCAGACTGTGTTCATTTAGTGTATCTATTTGAAAGTAGGAGATAACTAACTTCTCAAAGTCCCTTTTAAACCAAAAGCTGTCAGAATACCTTCAGGACTATGTCCATATGCCTAGTATTTCAACTCAATGGCTGCCAAAACATCAGTAGAGTTTTWAAAAAATTTCTAGAGAAAGGTGTTGGTTAAGTACTAGAGTTTTTTAAAATACCAAATATAGCATAATTCTTATAGAGGGAGAAGGAAACCAGCTAGCTATCAAATTGAGCTGACTTTTATCTAATGTGTAATCAAACTTCCAGCTAAATTTCAGTGCTCCAAAATATGGTGGGGCTGGGGATGTGGCTCAAGTGGTAGCGTGCTCGCCTGGCATGCGTGCAGCCCGGGTTCAATCCTCAGCACCACGTACAAATAAAGATGTTGTGTCCGCCGAAAACTAAAAAATAAATATTAAAATATCTCTCTCTCTCTCTCTCTCTCTCTCTCTCTCTCTAAAAAACAACAACAAAAAAAAAAAACACAAAATATGGCATCTAAGCTGGGGGGTCTTAAAAAGTAGGTAAGAGTCTTCCTCTGCTAACACTAAGAATAAAATAAGTTTGAGACTTTTTTCTTGGATACACACACACATACACACACACACACACATATACACACATATATATGATATATATATATATATACACACACACACAAATATATATATTTTGGTATTTGAATTATAAAATCACTTTTCAGTAAGAAAGCAGACTGATTTTATTATGGCATGAAGGACATTTTAAGAAGCATATCATAGACGAAGCATAGTGGTATGTGCCTATAATCCAAGTGACTCCACTCAGGAGGCTGATGCAGGAGGATCAAAAGTTCAAGACCAGCCTGGGCAACTTAGCAAGAACCTGTCTGAAAATAAAAATAAAAAAGGGCTGGGGATGTAATTCAGTGGTAGAGCACCCTTGGGTTTAATCCCCAGTACCACCAATAGTAATAGTAATAATAATAGTAATAATAATAATAATAATAATAAAGCAGATTATATGTGCCTTTCTTCCTTCTCAAGGTGATGAGGCACCCGGATCATGTGTCCTCCAGTGTCTATCTGTGGGCTCATCATGAGAAGCTTGTCATCATCGACCAATCGGTAGCCTTTGTGGGCGGGATTGACCTGGCCTATGGAAGGTGGGATGACAATGAACACAGACTCACAGATGTGGGCAGTGTGAAGCGAATCACTTCGGGACAATCTCTTGGTTCTCTCACGGTAAGTGAATCTCTTCCTTGTGGGGCTGCATAAAGTGAACATGATTTGGGTAAGTATGTATTAATAGCATGACTGATGGATCGAATGAGAGGTGACATCTTCCTGTGCGGGTTAAGAACACTGAGAAAAACATCASACATGTCTTCATACATTAGCCTTTATGTTGCTAACAGGTATCTCAGCACCTCTYGGGCTCTGTTTCTTCTCTTGTAAGAAGAGAAAACAGATTAAATAGAATGTTTGCCATCTCAGTCTTGGCTCTTGGTTTTCTATTTAAATTAAAAATGTATTCCCTATTTGGGGAAAAAAGTTCATAAATACAAATGTATGGCAATTAAGCTTTAGGTTTGATAATAAGAAATCTTTTCAAAAGTATCTTAGTACTTAGTCAAGAATTTTAGAATTTTCCCACTTAAAGACACACAAAAACACAATAGGTCAATCTGGGTTCCTTTTGAGGAAATTCTGTTGGAGCAGAAAGTTTAATAACTTCTCAAAGTACCTGTTAAATCAGGAACCATGTCTATATGTTTATGTCTATCTGCTTGCTCTTTCAACTCAATGGCTACTGAAGTATCAAAGCACTTATTAAATTTTTTGATGGGCTTCATCTTATTTACTGCTGGTGATATTGCCAGCTTTTCTGGCATAATGGCAAGTAATGGAAAAATGATTGACAGAAAAACTTCAGAGGAAGTTTTAGATATAACATTTTAGGTATAACATATCTAATTGTACTTGAGATGAAAAGATTAATTGGAATGAAATTTCAAGAATTTGGCCTGCTGATGGAGGAACCACAGTGGAACTCCTGTATTCGTTTGGTGGCCCTTTAATTCAAGCAGAGCTGATGAGAATTCCCCTCCACCCTGTGGCTGACCTCAGACTTCACACAGAGGGTCCGTTCTGGGGTCGCCACCATTGTAAACTGTACTCCTCAGCTCTGCTTAATTAAAGGGCCACTATTGCAGCATATCTTATGCAGTCTTTTTTTTTTTCCTCTTCAAATAATTTCCTCAGGCTGCAACAACAGAGTCTATGGAATCTTTAAGCCTCAAAAATAAAAATGAATCTAATAAAAATGTGCCCATCCTGAAGAATGTTGATGATATGGATTCGAAACTGAAAGGAATAGGRAAGCCAAGAAAGTTCTCCAAATTTAGCCTCTACAGGCAGCTCCACAAGCATCAGCTGCACAACGTGGACAGCGTCAGCAGCATTGACAGCGCCTCCAGTGAGTCACAGTCTTTTCTAGAAATTGTCCCAACTACATGTGTTCCTATAGCCAGTTAGTACATACCTGTCTTTAAAACCTGCCTTTGGATAACGGAGTAACATGAACAGGGTTGCTGTATCATCCTGTTCAACAACATACCATCCCCTGTGGCTTTATTGGGCTCCTTTTAGAACAGATTTATTGTTTTATCCATACAGTGTCATTATAACAACCACTGTTCGTGCTTTTTATGGCAGCAGAATGACCAAGGGTTTCTAAAATATGCCAACGTATCAAGGAAAAAGAAAAATATTAGATGTACTTTATAAAATTCTCCTAGAAGAAATTCATTTCTTTTCCCACCCAGAAATACTTTAGGCTTATATCATCAAACACCATCATATTCTGTATCTTGTAAATGTACTGTTCTTTGCAGGTCTGTCTTAAAATCCTTGCAATTTTTGGTTGCACATAATCTTTTATTTTTTAATTTTTTTAATTAGTTACACATGATAGTACAATGATCTTGACATATCATACATTTGAATCAGATGGGGTATAATTTCTCATTTTTCTCAGTGTACAGGTTGCAGAATCACATTGGTCATGCAGTCACGTATATACCCACAGCAATAATAATGKCTACTTTATTCTGCTGTCCTTCCTATCTCCCCTTCCCCTCTCCTCCCCTCCCATCACTTCTCTCTACCCAATCTAAGGTGACACACTTCTTTTTTTTTCTCTCTCACATCGTCATACATGTATTCCGTATAACGATGAGGGTCTCCTTCCATCTTCTGTGCAATTCCCCTTCTCCCTCCCTTTCCCTCCCACCTCTCTTTCCTATTTAGTGGTAATCTTCTTCTCATGCTCTTCCTCCCTACCCCTTTTTGAGTCACCCCCCACCCCCATATCAGAGAAGACATTCGGCCTTTGTTTTTTTAGGGATTGGCTAACTTCACTTAACATAATCTGCTCTAATGCCGTCCATTTCCCTGCAAATGCCATGATCTTATTATTTTTTTAGTACTGAGTACAGAATCTTATGACTGATTTTATAGCCCAGCTAGTTTTAAAATGATTAAACTTGCTTTCCAGTTTAGAAAACTTGATATAGATATATTTCTTTGTAAAAAAAAAAAGAACTCTCAACTTTCTCCAGGTTATCTTAATCACTATAGAAGTCATCAGAATTTAATCCATGGTTTAAAACCCCACTTGAAACTCTTTCGCCCTTCGTGTGGGTCTGAGCAGGGGCTCACTGGGCCCAGCGATGGTAAGTGATGTGTGCRTGGCCGAATCCCTTCAGGCTTCAGCTTCCATTTCATCGTCTGCTGCACAGGCGTAGTGAGTGTGTTTCCACATTGGCTTTCTGTGCACACAGTTTTTCACGTCACAAATATTGTGGAGCGCTTTCTCCGTGCAAAGCACAATGTCCCTACTCCCCAAGAGCCTGCACTTCAGTAGAGAAGATGAAACACATCTAATAACCAGACAGCACACAGCTTATGCAGTTCAGTAGTGTCATATGGTTCTGTGGAAGGTGGAGGGACTTCTTTTTTTATGATCCAAAAAGGCTTTTTGGGGCTGGGGATGTGGCTCAAGCGGTAGCTCGCTCGCCTGGCATGCGTGCGATCCTCAGCACCACATACCAACAAAGATGTTGTGTCCGCCGAGAACTAAAAAATAAATATTAAAAAAAATAAATAAATTAAAAAAAAAACAAAAAGGCTTTTTGAGTAGGACACTTGCAAATTAGGTCTGGAAGTGATTTGGTGAAGTTGGGTGAAGACAGGAAGACACTGCAGGTGAAAGAAAGGAGCTGAGCAAAGGTGCTAGGTTGGGAGATGGCCCACATCTTAGCTGTTAGGGGAAAACACACCATGAGGCTGTGATGTGGTTTTCTCTGTAAGAGTAGAAAGATATACACGATCGCATGTGGAGGCTCAAACAAAGTTGGGGAGTTGGAACTTTGGTTAAAATTTAAAGAGACCTCATGCTCTACATGCGAATGTTTAGAAACTGATACCTGATAACCTTTTTTGAGAAGAATCAGACACTTAGGGATTGAATTAACCAGGATCTGCCTAAATTATGGTGGTGGAAATGAAGAAGGATCTGGCCCTGGCTCTAATAGAGGGATAAGTACTCATCATGATAAATGACAGCAGTAGTAAAATCATCAGCTAGCTTTTAATGTGTTCAGACTCTGCCTATCACTGCCCCATTGCTCTCAGTGCTAGGTAGTGATATTGTTTCTCCTTTTTACATGTGAGAAAAACTCAGAGATGATAGGCAACTTCCCAACCAAGTCTTCACGTATCACCTTCCCTCTGCTCTGGATTCTGATTTGTGATTTAGCAGCAAGGCAGATTACCACATCATGACCTTTTGACCAGAATCCCAAGGCCAAGGTTCGCCTGTGCTGTTTTAGGAGATGAGGGACTTGAAGTCAGCCAACATGCCTGGATGTGAGTCACTTATAGTTAGCAAGAACTGCTGAGTCGGATAAATGAAGCTGGACTTTTGAGCAGTGGTTCCCAGCAGTCTTTAGTTTGGGGACCCTGCATTTTAAAAAATATATTGACTAACCATGTGGAATAGACTAAAGCTCTGATGTAGCTAGGAATTAAATTTGTATTTTTAAAATCATCTAGACATTGATATACACTTAAAAAAGGAAAACATGAGATGTTTATTTAGTGTATGATTAGTACCTGATGCACGTGTAGATTCAGGGACAACYACCAGAAGTTCCTGTACTTGACAGAACTTGAAAGTCCTGACAACTGGGGAGCCTCTGAAAAGTCCAGCAGGCTGAGTCAGGGGCATGTGAAGCTTCAGATGTTAAAGGTACAGAGTTGGGAGCAGGTGCAGGGAGTGCCTTGGACTTCCAGTGTGCAACTTTACTATTTTAGAACTGAAGTTAAAAAGTGAGATGGAGGGATAAAGTTGCTGAGCTACAAAAAGTCTGACTTACGACTGTTAATATTGCTGACAAGAGACACAGGAGCAAGTGGGGAAGATATGAGTATCGCTAAGAGGATCGAGTGACTCAAGCCACCCCCAGGCTGAGGGTGGTCTGAGGACATGGATGTGTTTGGTTTTCTGCCCTTGATGGAAAATGTCCTTGGCATCCATTCACAGTCCCCTCACTAATAAATTGGATGCACATCTAGAGCAGCATTCTAAATTAAGAGAAAGTAAACAACACAACTATCAGAAGAGGGGAATGATGAAGAACATAGTGAGGGGCTCATCCCCTTGAGGAATGTGTGCATCCATTCAAATATTAAATGAGGATGYATAAACTAATGTAGAAGATTTGTTTATTTAAGTACATATTGAGATACTGGTACTAGGGATGTAGGGAAGAGAGCAGATAAAATGGAGTTAACTAGTTGAGAAAGGATGTGGATTGTATAAACAAATAGATCATCAAACACAACGTATTAGAAGGTGGTGGTCATCAAGGAGAACAACAGAGCAGGGTAGCTGGTAGGGGGAACAGATGGAGGAGTTATTATCATATATATATATATGGTAGCAGAGAATGCTGCTCTAATGAGGTGAGTTCGAAATGAAGATCAGAAGGGAGAGAAGAATGAGGATAAGAGACAGGGAGGGAGGTGTCCCAAACAGGATGAATAACAAGTGCAAAGGCCCTGAGACAGGAGGGGGATCGGTATGTTCTAGGAACGTTGCTGTGGTGGGGTGGATTGGAGGAGAATGTTAGGAAGAGTCAGAGAGGTGTGCGATTGGGTGGATTATGAGCCATCTTGCAGGCTGCTGTGAGAATTCTGCCTCCAGAGAAAGTTACCAGCTAGTCTTGAGTAAAGGCAGATGAAATCTGACTTAGGTCTTTATGGGCTCATTCTTCAGAGCAGATCAGGTGGCAAATAGTTCCAGAGAAGGTACTGAATAGATCTTGAGAGTAGAGCTGACAGCATTTGCCAATGCCCTGGATACGGGTATGAGGGCTGGAAAAGACTCCAAGTYCTTGGAGCCACCAGAAAGGTGGAGTTTCCGTGAAGTGAGTGAGAGCATGGAATGATGGAGAGCTTGAGGATGACTCCCACTGTGTCAAAATATGCATCTGAAAGAGGTTGACTAAGGACATTAAAGGCCACTAACTTTATTAAGAAGATGGAACTTAAGGTGCCATTTTTCTCTTTTTYTACATTGCTGGCCTTATTTTCATATTGCTTTCAGAGTCAAACATATATACAAATTTAACTTTTAATAATGAGAAAAATCAACTGAGTTAAAAAGAAAAGGTTAGTTGAGTCTTCCCAGAACAGTGCTTCCAAAACTGTAAACTCCCCTGATCCCTCTGTTGGTCCATGCTTTAGTCAAAATCGTCCCACCTGWATCTCTTTATGTGTGGGAGTTCTTCACAAATTTGGAAAATAAAAGTGAGGGTCCACAAAAAGTAAGGAAGGAAACATTTAAACACAATTTAGATTTAAACCGTGCAATGACATAAACTCATGTTTTCTTATAGGACTTGAAACTCAAATTAAGCATGAAGTGACTCTTATTAGAAATTTAAAACTGCAGGTGAGCTTGAATTAGGGATTTCCATTTCCTGAGAGTGCTGAACATGGTTAGCCTCTCTGTAGTGTCAGTTTCACTTGACTACAAAAAACTTTGTTGAGGCAGGCTCCTCATAAGCCTCCCTGGTGTTATATGGAATGTGGCTGTAAGGCCACCATGCTCCCTATGAGATTTTAAACAGAAAAAAAATTGCAATAAAATCAGTTMATTCTAAATGTGGTTAATAACCACGATGTATTTCTATAGTGTATATTTTTATTTTTATTCAAAATCACTCAGCCATCTTCAAGAACTTTTTTCTTTCAGAATTATGTTGTCAGAGGGAGAATTTCAGATTGACGTTGCTTTCCTTGATACTCTGTATTTTTAAAGGGGTTGATTTTATACTTGTTACACTCAGAAACTGCTTGATGAGTTTTCCTTGTAAACAATATTAAATATATAAGCGAGAGGGGAAATTGTTTTTGCAATTTAGTTGAAACAGGTTTTTCAAATCAAATATCTAAGCAGTGTTATGATGAATGGTAAGTTAACTCATTTCAAAACTATGTTCTCTGGGGTGCAGCCTCCAGGATGTATAGAGTCATTTCTGTGCTGTCAAAGAGCTTATTATCTAATACTGAGCATGGTTTTAAATATCTGACCTCCTGGTATTTAATAATTCATCTAGCATTCACAAAGCCTCTCCACCCATTTAATACAGGTCCAGTAATCCTTATCCATAATTCCAAAACCCAAAATGCTTTCAAACACCACAGCTTTTGTTTAATATACATACTGAGGAACCTATATTGGAACTGGTTGAGGATCTAGGTAGAAATTCAGTAGATGAGAGACCAAGAAGGAAGAAGAAAACAGGCATTTCAGGCAAATTGTATATCTTAAGACCCAGACGTGGGAAATACCAGAGGTATTTGTTTCAACACCCCAGACCTCAGTTGTGATGCATGGTGAATACAGTCTCTTATATAAAATTCTTGGCATCAGCTATGCTGAGTTTTAGAAAAGTAATATGATAAGTATACCCTATATCATGTTACCCTTGCAGCAGGGTCCTGGGAATACCTRGAATGTAAGCAAACCATTTACATTTGTACAACACCAAGTGGGATCAATAAAGATAATAAATAATTTCTTGTCAGTTCAGGTTGAGTTTGGCTAACAAATAAGCTATGGGAAAAACATATGGATTTTCAGAGCTTGGAGGATTTGGGATTTGTTCTAAGGATTAATTTGTATAGATTGGGCTGGTGGGGTCTGTCTTCACCAGTTTATGAAGGGCCTTGAAAGTTKGGCTGAGACAGTGTCCCTCATCCACTAAATTCTGGAGCAGCCCCATGGGAGAGAGTTTAAGGGCAAAGTTTTATGAAGGTTACACAAGAGAYGAAGGGAGTCCAAATAGGTTGTGCTAGGGGGCCCAAGATGGAAGGGAATGGGATAAACTTTTTCCAAAAGAAGAATCGGCAAAATTCTGATCTGATTTGGGAAGTGGTGGTGGGAAGGGGGGATGGAAAAGACAGTAAAGAGAGGAGCAGAGGCGATTGTGAAGTTGGAGCCTAAGTTGCTCTGARCAGAAAGCAGAAATCCCTGAGATGACTTGATACTGTGGGGAGGCTCATGATTTTAGTGTTAGATGTGACTGTCAAGTTCTTGCGGGACAGCTAGGTAAATAGTGTTCCATGACTATATATCTGGTATTCAAAAAAGAACCAGGCCTAGAGGTATACATTTAGGAATCATATGGAAGAACACGGGAGACACAGGGGGAACCATCTTAGTGACAGCATCTAGGAAAGAAGATGGGGAGGGCGAGGCTGGATAAGTGGAGGCTGGACCCTTGGAAGACGAGATGAGGAAACAAAGGAGGAGGCTATGATAAGGCCTGAAGACACTGGACAGAAGCAGGAGGACACCTTCATCCTAAACTTTAGCAGCTGGAATCTGGGCTGCCGAAGGAGGAAGTTGTGGGAAATTGAGATGGTGAACCCAAAGGTAGAGCAGATGCCATCATGAAGTCATTTGGGAGCCAGATCCAGCCTCATGAGTGCCCCTCAGATCAGGGTTGCAGATGCCAGAAGTTCTCTGCTCACAGAGGCCCATGCAACTCTGAGCAGTCAGCATAGTAACTAGTGAGTGTTTGGTTCTGTTGCYTTAATAGTTCATTTATTCTGAGGAGGACCCTCATTTATTCAGAATAAATAAAGTTTAGGCCTTGGCTATAAGCAAAACCAAATTTGAATAATGAGCAAAAATAATTTTCTGGGACCAGAAATTTGTTTTGTTTTCCTTATCATGGCCAGTTGTTAGGTGAAATAAATTTTTAAACAATTATATGGATATCTACCCAAAAACCTTATCTTAGTTTCCTAATTGATGAAAACAAATTATACCTACACACGTGTGCACGCGCGCGCGCACACACGTATGAATAAATGTGGAATTTGACCCATTATTTAATCTATTTTTTTTGTACATGCCCTATTTTTCTATTTCCTCTTTTATTTTTCTTTTAACAATGCACCATGCATACTATAAAGAGCCTAAAGGTGAGCAAATAGACTTACTAGTGTTCTACCCTCTCTACCTTATACAGCAGGAAAATAAATCACTAGGAGAAGTCAATAGAGTTCTACTTTTAATAGTGGTTATTTTTATTTACTTTCGCCATTGAAGACACTTTTCTTTCATAAAAAGATTCAGTAACCTTTGGAAGGTTAATTACTCAGTTTGAGATAGAATATTAGTTGTATATACTGATTGCACAAAAATATTTAGTTTTTGCAAATATTTACTGATGCCCTCCTAGATGTCACGATTTGCACCCGGCAGTGAGAGGACATTTCCCCACTCCCCATTTGCCCATGAGGAGTTTATAGACTGGCAGCAGGGGCAGAGGCAAGAGGAGCAGCCCTATATAATCACATGAAAGAGTAAGAGGTTTTCTGGGTGCAATTTCCAATGGAATGACAATGCCAGTGACTACATCTCCCTTTGGGATCTGGGAGGTCTTCTCAGGCAGAGACAGCTACTGTGGTTAGGAGATCAGGCCAAGGAAAGGGAAGAGAATTCCAGACAGAAGAAGTAAAGTACTAAGTGACGAGGCAGGACAGACAAGACCTGTCACAAAAATACAGCAAAAAATGGGTTCTAGTGGTCSTGGGGTTGGTCGGGAGGAAAACAATGACGAGAAAGTCAGATTAGCCCTAGTTTGGGAAGTGCTTTCTATGCACACCAAGTCCTTAGGACTTGAACCTCCTGTAGATAGTAGGTGACAGTAGTTTTAAAGCAATGAGTTTGCACCTAACTAAGACAGTTGAGACAGTGTGAAGGTGGAGGTGGTGCTAAGATGACCGGTCTAGACCTCTCACTGGCTACTTGAAGGAGTAATCATTTATTAGTTCCACAAATATTTTCCCATGCCACATCTGTCCAGTGCCTCTTTTGTGCCAAGTGCTGCATTTGTAATCTGGAGTCTGCTCTCTTCATGCTTCATTGTCTTTACGGTCAACATTTTCCCTTCACTTACAAGCTATTTAACTCAAAGCATTTAACTTAAGTGAAGTGGCCTCATAGAGCTCTTTGTGACATGCTACAGTAGATTGCTGCTTGTGTGCCTCTGTGACAAGCATCTGTCTGTTTGTGGTTATGTTTTKTACAGATGCCTTTTGTGATTGTAAGACTATAGAAAGTTAGAGACCAAAAGGTCTTAATTGTCATATGGGCCAAATTCTTCTTTTTTTTTACACACAGGGATTTCTGACCCAAAGAGGTGAAGCTYGATATCAATTTTAGTTAATTCCAGGGCTGGAACGTGGGCTGTCTGTATATAAGAGGTTCTTGATTTTTAAATGCAAAAGACAAGAATTACACATAAGGTTTGCATCATGCAGGTGAGGAAGGAGAAATGGCCTGGCTTATTTGTTTCCTTCATGTCTCATGGTTCTCCATCCTCACCTGGTTTTATTGCTCTCTGGTAGTCCCTCCTTGCTAGTTCTTTATTCACTGTTGGTTCTGTGATTGGTTCTTGCAGTGATCTGGTAGACAGTGAGAATAAGCTKCTCAGTGCCGGAGAATGTTACATTTCATTGTCTGATGATGAGCCTGACTATGGTCCCAACAGCCCACTAACAATAAACTTCCAAGTGTTGTAAAACCTCTTCAGCCCACAGCTTCTAATCAAATGGACACATGTTGCCCTAGTTATGAGTCTCATGAAAAAAAGTTAGGGCATGCAGGTGTTTAATAAGTGAGAGGTGAGATCCCCCCTCTCTGGGGGCCCAGCTGACCCACAGCCTCTGGGGTGGGATTCCCTGCATTCACAGACACTGGCTCCATCCGCAGTTTGCAGACAGGCGTGGGAGAGCTCCATGGGGAGACCAGATTCTGGCACGGGAAGGACTACTGCAATTTTGTCTTCAAAGACTGGGTTCAACTTGATAAGCCTTTTGCTGGTGAGTATGAGGTGTGGATTATATTTTGTTATATTTGAGCATCTCAGCAAGTATGCACAGGCATGGTCTAAGTGTCTTTTGTTTTGCTTTGTTTATTTTTGAAATTTTGGMAAAACTGAAGACATGCTTCAGTCATCTACTTAAGGACTGTTTTTTGTAGTTTCAAAAAGAAAATAACATAAAATGGAACTGACCTATCTGAAACCTCCAGGTTTCCTATAGGCATATTTTGGGGGTAATGATCTATAATTCTTCTAAGAGATGGTAGCCTTCCTTTGATCATCTTTTTTTTTATGCATAGTCTCTCCATTTTCCATCATTAGAATGGCATATTTTCAGACTATCACTGAAATATTAACATATTTCCTTTTATAAATTGGAGGTGGGGTCAGAGGGTTTCTGTCCCCCCACATGGAAGTTCATGACGGATCCTTGCCCGGTACACCTGGGTAGATTTCATTGACAGGTACTCCACTCCCCGGATGCCCTGGCATGATATCGCCTCTGCRGTCCACGGGAAGGCTGCTCGTGATGTGGCACGTCACTTCATCCAGCGCTGGAACTTCACGAAGGTACTGCCTATTGTTGTCAGGACTCAATCTGCATGAAGAGAGCCAATACTAGCTGGAGGAAAAACCCAAAGGGTTGGCCAGAAGGGGTTGCTGCAGCCACAGCTATAATTACAATCTGCAGTTGGATACATCATTGACAGAGTAGCTGAACCTCTTGCATTAAAAAAGAAAAGAAAAATGCTCCTGAACTTTAACACAGACAATTCAGAGAGCAGGGGGATAGATGCTGCTAGAGGAGCCTATGACTTTAACCCTTTAAACATCTTGGACTCTCAGTATTGATTAAGCATTTATTGAGCTGGGCCCAGTAGTCATGTGGAGGGCTGTTGTAGGTGGGAGAAGAGTCTCTTTTAGACAAGAGGGCTCAAACTGGAAAGCCCTTCCAGTCCTGGCATTGCGCTGGGTTTCTACTGGTACAGGATTCTGAGAGCCAGCTCTGAGCAAGGCAAGCAGAGTGACATGGACCATTTTCCTCTCTTGGTGGGCCTTTGTTGCTGGTAAGGACTGGCCCTAAATTCTTAAGTTCAGAACATATCATACAGTGTTGTTAAGATCCACCTTATTTACTCAAAATGATAAGGCATTCTCCCCCAAGAGTTTGGAAAACAATTTAGAGTCACTTTTTTTCTCATTCATATATATATATATATATAACTCCATTATATATAAAATATATAAAACTATATATATATATAAAACTCCATTAGAACTTTTGTGGAAGTTCTAATGGAAATATTTTAAGCAAATTTAGAGGGAGGGCTGGGGTTTTAACTCAGTGGGGGAGCGCCTGCTTAGCACATGTGAGGCATTGGGTTCTGTCCTCAGCACCACAAATAAGTAAATGAATAAATGTACTGTGTCCATCTACAACTAAAAAAAAATTTTTAAATATTTCTTTTAAAAATAAATTAGAAATTTGGAGAGAATGGATGAATTAATGAAGTGATATTACTTTTAAGCTACTGTATTGTTGAAGATTAAAAACATTGCTAATACTTACAGTGTGGGGGTTTTGTTTGTTTGTTCCTACATTGGTAATACACTAATAAGTCTTTTTTTTATAGTATGCATTTTTAAACCTAAAAAGTGATTTTCAGGTACTTAAGCTAAAGAAGTAATCTAGGCAGGTAATTTATTTTGAGACTGCTTCTAGGACCAAATAAAATTAGAGATTGATAAAATGCTCATTAATAGGAATTTATTATACAAATTATGATTCTTCTTACTATTTTATGAAGCATATTGAAGATGACAGTGCTATATTGTTCCAGCAAGATATTTACAACAGTAAAAATTATTTATAAAGTAATAATAATGCCATTTTAAAATTGTATAATACTCTATAAGTATAGATTACATTTATTCTTTCTTTACAAATGTAATACAATGCATGATTGCTACAAAAGATAAAAGTAGGAAATATAGAAAATAGAAAACAAAAATAAATAATTTCCAGTCTTGAAATGTCCACTAATATTTCTTCTCTTGAACTTTGTGTGTTTATGCTGTGCTGGGGATTAAACCCAGGGCTTCTTGTTATAGTAGRCAAGCACTCTACCACTGAGCTACATCCTCAGCCATTTTTTCTTTTTTCAAATGAACCTGAATTTCTTTCATAATTATAAACTAAGGAAGAATGGACTTCTTTTGTCATGTGACTCTTTTTTTTTTAATCTGCTTTTATTTTAGATTATGAAACCAAAGTATCGGTCTCTTTCTTATCCCTTCCTGCTTCCAAAGTCTCAAACCACAGCCCATGAGCTGAGATATCAGGTGCCTGGGGCCGTCCATGCTCGTGTGCAGGTAAGCCTGGTTTTACTTTTTTGGCAAAATACACTGATTAACGTTAGTATTACTGGACTAAGTGACTATTACAGTGCCTTCTGAGTTTTCAATAAGGATAATTTGTCCAAAGCAAATCTGAATGGTCCTTTTAATATTTGGAATTATATTTCCTGTATTAAATACATTCAATTCACCCTCATTATAAAACTCATTTATACATATAATAAATATGTGTCTTCAGAAAAGGCCACAATCAAGGAATGACTGTCCTTGTAATTCCTTCTGAAATGATCCCAGTAACATGATACACAGTATAAACCTGGGGCTGATATTGCCTGAGCACCAGGAGCTTGGCTGAAACTTAACCTCCAGGAAGCTAGTTATTATAGTCCAATCTAATTTTAGTACTCAATTAACCAAATGCCATTTGGAGGCTCTTTTAATGGAATAAGGAATTTCCTTAATAAATTCACAAAATTTTATTAAACCCCGTCCAACCATCTCAAGTTACAAATAAGAAAATTCAAACCCARTGGGGCTCTGAGGCATGTCCAGAGCCAACTGAGTTAGGGTGGAGCTTGAAATCTTAGTCTGGTTCAGAGTTACCCAATCTACTGCCTTTATCAACTACAGCTCAGATACCTTGAAATCATGTGGTCACAGACTGAGGATGGGCTCCCCCCCCCCCCACTGGCATTGCCTTTGGTTCCCAGTTACTATCATCAGCATTGGAAGCATTATTTAGTAAAAATTCAGCAGTCTGTTAGCTGCCATCATTAATGGACTTAAATAATTCAGACATGTATTCTCATGAATGTGATTTTATAAATGAAATATCTAAATCTGTTACGTTGAATTATGTGCAAGTAGAGTTGCGTGCATATAAAAAATAAAGATATTTTACACCATAGATAAAATAACAGAACAATTTTTTTAAAGTTAAACCACTTGTGAGAATTATATAGGACATATTGAGTCATCCCAGTCTAGGAAGACTAATTTCAACTTGAAGGTGCAGATAGATAGCTGTGCACATATACAGAAATTGGTGAATGTTTTATGAACCTATTTAATTTTATTTTACATGGAAGAGAGAAAATTATTCATGCTAGAAGACAGAATAAGAATGTTGGTATTAGGAAAGTAAGAGAATTTAAGATTTGAACTTGCATTAAAATTGATGTGATCAATTTATCAAAGTTAGCTGATGTTAAGTACCTGTTGAAAATGTATTACTGAGAAATGTGTGTTTTGTGATGGATTAAGAATATTTTAGCCTACTGTTGCAAATACATACATTTTCCACTCCCACATTGGTAAAGCCCTGACTTGTATATTCTTATCCTGCTGCCCTGATAAGGCAGGTACACACTCTACAAATACTTCTCTTCACTCACCTTCTCCGCACCACTGGGTATTGTGTTAGAGATGGAAATAGATCAGATGACCTCTTTTGATGAGCTCATATATTCATCCCTGATACATTCTGGATTCACTGTGCAAAGTCAATTCATTTTAAAAGGGCATTTACCACCACATGAGTGGGATCCTAATTAGAATAAGTTATACACTATGTATGTATAAAATGTCAAAATACACTCTACTATCATGTATATCTAAAATGAACAAATACAAAAATTTTAATAAGGGCATTTACCAAGATGCATGCACTCACTCATTCATTGATTCAGCCAACTTAGGTTTATTAAGTGCCATCTGTTTGTAAAATGAAGCCATTGAAGCATACTTACGTATGCAAGGGACAGGCAGAAAATGATTTCTCTGCCTCAGGAAACTTAGTTATCTGAGGAGATAAAGCTGTGCTGTTGAATAATTCAGTTAACAGTAAAGAGTACGGTAAAAAGCATGAAGGTACAGACCTACTGGTGAGTGTCCTCTCTAAGAAATAAACCTGCCCACTCAGAAGACAGGGAGACTGACTGCAACAACCATTTTCTCTTGGTGATGAAGTTGGACAGCATAAGGCCAGATGAGGTACCTGGATTGCTGGCCTGGTGAGTTTAGATCTTGTCCTGGAAGWATTAGTGAACTTTGGAATATTCTTTTCATCCAAGAAGAAACATGCTACATGAATGTTTTAAAAGGTTAAATTGATTATCCTAAGTATAATCAAACAAAAACCCAAGGATAACAAGGTTAATCTTCRTAAAGCATATATCCCTAAAACTTGATTTAGGAACAGGGTTGTTTTACTTTTTTGGCAGCYGGGGTCAGGAGGTGCTAGGGATTTAACCCAGAGACATACTGAGTTATATCCTTATAGCCCTTTTTTTTTCTTTTTAATTTCAAGACAGGGTCCCAGTAAGTTGTTTGGGGTCTCRTTAAGTTGCTGAGGCTGGCCGCAACTTGTGATCCTGCTGTCTCAGCCTCCCAAGCCACTGGGATTACAAGCATGTGCCATCATGCCCAGCTAGGGACAGTTTTTGAAGTTGGGTTTTATCTGTGGAATGCTAATAATTATTCCATAAAAAAGGTTTCCATGGACAGAAGCTTTTGCAGCTTTCTTTAATATTTAATAGGAGGGCTGAGTGCCTTTGTCACTCTGATGTGTTACAAAACCACTAAGTGGGAATGAGGTGCATTTCCCAAGCTTATTTGATGGGATCYCTCATTTTATTTCTTGTCATCTGTTTCTCTCTGAACAAACACTTTGGGACTAGAAGTTTATACATAGGAAGAACTTATTAAACCAAAGAGAATGAAAGCAAGGGACAAGAGAAAAGCCTGGGGAAGTAATTCTGCTGAACCCAGGAGTCCTAAACTAGAAAGGAAGGGACAAATCTGGAATATTTTTGAGGAGACAAGGGGACACAGTGACTAGAAAATGACTGAAAATTAAGAACAAGGAAAAGGTAAAGCTAATTAGTTCAGTGTCACTGACACAATCTCCCGAGAAAAAAATAGGACACATGTCATGTCTAGACTGATGGGCCAGGTCGCTGAAGACCCTGGCGGCTCCGGTGGTAGGTGTGTTCTGGGTGATGTGAATCTTGCAGCGTGATAATGGGTATAATAAAGAACCTAGAAGTGCTGCTAGGCTGARCTTCTGGAAGCACGAAAATTGTCCCGCTAAACATAATAAAATACATTCAAAAACCACAGCACGTAGCCTCAGCCAGTCATTTCCCCTCCCTGAACCTCATTTTTCTCATCTGAAAGCTTCCTGATTATACTGAGTGATATCTACAATCCCTTCAGGTACTTAAAGGGGAGCTTTTCTCCAGCACCTTTGATAAATGAGGTGTCATTACAATTGTATCAGTTACCTTTCATTTAGGTGTCCTGATATATATAGGAACCGTTGTATAATAAAACTCAAATGTCCACCACAGATACATATCCTAATTTTTAAAACTGTTATAATTACATTTATCACTAAGTAGAAATAGAGCCAGACTCAGAATATGTACCTTGATAATGAAAATTGTTCCTCTGAATCTTTAAGAGGGAAAAAAAATTCTTGAAGGAAATTAAAACATCATAGATCCACTTAGACACCTGGCAAAGCAAAAAGAAGACAAAGATTACAAGAAAGGACATGTGAGGAAGTACGATGTCACCAGTGAACTCTTAAATTCACAAGACTATGAGGTTAACATTTCTTTTATTCCTCTGGTCCTCAAAACCTGATATTCCAGTATATAACTCTTACCATCTCAGTCCCTAAAGGAAAAATCTCCCTCCAGGAGACCTGACGTGAAGGCCACAGGTAGGGAACCAGCTACTGTCTTTTAGGAGCTCATGTTCACTGCCATCTTTGGGCCCTGGTGATGGGCTGAACCCCGCTTAGCTGCCCAGGCCCCTCTTAGTGCCTGTACCTAATTTTGTATTTGTAAATTTGTATTATTTTTCTTAAAGAGTCCCACCCTAACCATGGTCAGGTATGGTGGCACATGCCTATAATCCCAACAATTCAGGAGGCTGAGGCAGGACGATTGCAAGTTCAAAGCCAGACTCAACAACTTAGTAAAGCCGTAAGCAACTTAGGGAGACCCTGTCTCAAAATAAAAAGGGCAAGGGATGTGGCTCAGTGGTAAAGCATCTCTAGTACCATAAAAGGAAAAAAGAGCCCCTTCCCCAATCTGGACATGTCAGACCTGGCCAAATCTGAAGCCCTCCTCTTTTTCAGTWCATGTTGTTCAGAAATGATGAAATAACTCTAGTTGTGAAAACAGTGGATGCAGCCAGGATGTACATTTTTTTGAAGATGGGAAAGTCAGAGATGATAAGAAATTAGAGAGAGAGAGACTTACCCTGCTGCCTTTCTCCACAGTGTTGCTTTGCTTTCTTCATGTCATTCATGGCTTTACCATTTATCTTATTTCCAGACATTATTTTTTCAAATCATAAATGTAGTGCTTAGAGGGCAAGAACAGTAAACTAGGCCTATCTCTGCTTTTCCAAAAATTCCAGAAGGTGCCAAGGGATTTGTGCATGCTACTGAATCTTTAAAGGGTTTATTATCACATTTTCAAAGCTTTCACCCACCTGGCTATTCTATGACACTAGCCAAATGACTATTACCCACTCAGTTGAGAAATTGAATAAAATTCATCCTAAAGTGTATTGTTTGTTCAACAGTTTATTTCAAAACATCATTTAGAGGCCATAAGCTTACTACATTATAAAGRAAACAGTATGATGTAGTAATGAAGAGGTGGATTCTAAAGTCAGACTGTTAAAATCCCAGCTCTGCCACTTACTAGCTGTATAAGTAGCTGCTTCACTTCTCTGTACTTGTTTCTATCGTCAATAAATCAGGTCTGATAATAAGTGTCTACTTTATAGGATTGAGTGATGGATAGCAGTGGGTAAATAACACATACAAAGCACTCAGAAGCACTAGTTTGTGTGCTGTAGGTACTTTCAAGCTTTCCCCAGTGTTTCAAAAGTTTGCAACAAAGACATTGATGTTTCTCTGGATGGGTCACTAGGTTAGTTCTGGATAAAAATCTTAATATCATATTTATTGAAATAGAAAGAAAGGGCATTTGACA